TTGTCGGTTCTACAATGTAGATGCAGCAGCTTTCTCCATTCCAATTAATGATTGAGCCAAAGTATGGCGAAACTGGAACTATTTCATTGTCTTGTGTACAGTTTATGTTAATCCTCTGTGGTTGTTCTGTTTGTTTTCTTTATGTTAGGCTGCAAAAACCTGCCTTCACACTGCCTTCCTTGACTTAATGAAAAACCCATCTTTGTCCATTTCTAAAAGGCCTGAAATGTTTTGTGGGCGAAAGGCGATCATGGTTGCATCTACACCAGGCATGGGCACACTTTCTAGCTTGGGGGCATGCTAGTGATGGAAGGAAGGGAAGAGAGGAGGAAGGAAGGGAAGGATGGAAGAAAAAAGAGGGAGGTAAGGGAGGGAGGGAGGGAGGGAGGGAAGAGAGAAGGAAAGAAATACAAAAGGGAAGGAGGAAAGGGTGGAAGAGAAGTGGGAGAAAAGAGAAGAGAGGGAGAAAGGAAAGGAGGAAAGAGAGGAAGGAAGGACAAAGGGGAAGGAAGAGGAGGGAGAAAGAGGAGGAGGAAGAAAAGAGGAGGAAGGAAAGAAAAGGGAGAAGAGAAGGGAAAGGGAGGAGGGAAGGAGGGGAAAGAGGGAAGGAAAGACAAAAGGAAGGGAGAGAGGGAAGGAGGAGGAAAGAGGGAGGGAGGGAGGGAGGAAGGAAAGAGGGAAGGAAGGAAGGAAGGAAGGAGGAAGGAAGGAAGGAAGGAAGGGAGAGGGAAGGAAGAGGAAGGAAGAAAAGAGAGAAGAAGAAGGAAAGAGGAAGGGAGGGAAAAGGGAGAAGGAAGGAAGGGGGAAAAAAGAGGGAAAGAAGGAAGGAAGAATGAAAAAGGGGGGAGAGGGGGAAGGGAAAGAGGGAAGGAAGAAAGAGAGAAGGAAGGAAAGACAGGGAGGAAGGGAAGGGAGAGAGGAAGGAGGGAAAAGAGGGAAGGAAGGAAAGAAAGGAAGGAAGAAGGGGGAGAGGGAAAGGAGAAGGGAAGAGGGAAGGAAAGAAAGACAAAAAGGAAGGAAGGAAGAAGGAAGGAAGGAAGGAAGGAGGAAGGAAGGAAGGAAGAGGGGGTGGAGAGGAAGGGAAGAAGGAAGAGGGAAGGAAGAAGGAAGGAAGGAAGAAGGAAGGAAGGAAGGAAAGGAGAGGGAGGAAGGGTGGAAGGGAAGGAAGGAGGGAAGGAAGGAAGGAAAGGAGGAAAGGAGGAAGGATAGGATGATGAGGGAGGAGGAGCTGAGAAAAGAGCCCAAGTGGCGACATGTGGCCCCCAGGCCTGGGTTTCCCCATACCTGATCTACACTGTAACATGAATGCAGTTTGACACCACTTTAATTGCCATGATTCAGTGCGATGGGATCCTGGGAGTTATCATTTGGTGAGGCCCTCTTGGGCAGAAAAGGATAAAGACCTTGCAAAACTACAACTCCCATTATTCTACTGCAAAGAGCCATGGCAGTTCAAGTGGAGCCAAACCACATTATCTCTATGGTGCAGATGCACCCTTGAATATTGGGAAGTGTCAAACGAGGCAGCATTCAGAGTCTCCAAATATTGCAGAGGCGGATGAGCACTGGATCGAGAGGCAGGAAGTTTCTGTCACCTGAACAATGGACAGGTTTCATTTGGCACAAACCTTCCTTGGATCCCTTTGCTGACTCACTGCTTCATAATTGATTCAGTGGCTTTCCTGTGGGTGAGACTATTACCCTATTTACTCAAGTCTAATGCTCAGTAATTTACTTTGCCAAAATGAGAGCGCACATTAGATTTGAGTCATGCGGTCATCTTAGTGTTGGGCCAAAGCAAAAGGGAAAGCTGCTTCAGGAGGTCCTCTTTGAGGGACATCTTCTCTAACTTAATGGCTACGGCTAAATGCTATGGTTTCCTGGGATTTGTAGTTTGGAGAGGTATCCACGTTCTTTGGCAGAGAAAACTCAAGGCCTTCTGAAACTTCAGCATTGAACCGAGGCAATAAAAGTTGATTCATTCCACAGTATATAACAGGAATAGGCAAACTTGGTCCCTCCAGGTGTTTTGGACTCCAACACCCACAATTCCTAACAGCCTCAGGCCCCTTCCTTTTCCCCCTCAGCCGCTTAAGGAAGGGGCCTGAGTCTGTTAGGAATTGTGGGTGTTGGAGTCCAAAACACCTGGAGGGACCAAGTTTGCCCATGCCTGGTATAGATGTACACTGCCATGCAATGGAACCCTGGGAATTGTAGCTTGGCGCATCTTTCGCAGCAAAGGCTGAGGACCTTGCAAAACTGCAACTCCCAGGACCACACAGCATTCAACCTGGGCAGTTCAAGCAACACTAGGCTGCATTCATTACAGGTTGCACCAGTAGCAGCACCGTAAAATGGTATAGACCATCTTAAAGATATATTTTGACACTTCAGAATCTTGTCTTTGTCATGACTATGACTGCAAAATAGTCATAAGTGTGCAATTCTACCAATTCTTGACATAATTCTGGCCTTTAAAAGTAAAAGTAAAGGTTTTTCCCTGATATTAAGTCTAGTCATGTCCACTTCTGGGCATTGGTGCTCATCTCAATTTCTAAACCGAAGAGCCAGCATTGTCCGTAGACACCTCCAAGGTCATGTGGCCAGCATGGAGCGCCGTTACCTTCCTGCCGAAGCGGCACCTATTGATCTACTCACAGGAGATTCCATCTGAACATTAGGAAGAACTTCCTGACTGTCAGAGCCGTTCAGCAGTGGAACTCTTGTCCCGGAGTCTGGTGGAGGCTCCTTCTTTGGAAGCTTTTAAACAGAGGCTGGATGGCCATCTGTCAGGGGTGCTTTGAATGCAATTTTCCTGCTTCTTGGCAGGGGGGTTGGACTGGATGGCACATGAGATCTCATCCAACTCTATGATTCTATGATTTTCAAACTGCTAGGTTGGCAGAAGCTGGGCCTAACAGCGGGAGCTCACCCTGCTCCTTGGGTTTGAACCGTCAACCTCTCAGTCAGCAAGTTCAGCAGATCAGCGATTTATCCTGCTGCACACTGGGGGCTCCGGCCTTTAATCCTAATGCAGTCATGCTGGCCACATGACCTTGGAGGTGTCTATGGACAACACTGGCTCTTCGGCTTAGAAATGGAGATGAGCACCACACCCCAGAGTCAGACATGACTGGAGTTAATGTCAGGGGACTACCTTTACCTACTAATACATTAACATTACTATTTATATTAATGATATTAATATATTAGGCCTTTAATACTAATATATTAATATTATTAATACGAATACTAATAAATAGTAATAATACAAAACAGTCTAGGCTACACATTCCTAACCAAATTTTGCACTCCTATTAATGATATTAGGGCACTGATTGTATTATTAATGCAACATTGCTGTTATCGAGGCCTGCATCATTTTGCACTGTTGCTTTTGCAATTGCTATACCAAGCTTTTCCTCTTCTATGATGATGATGATGATAATGATGTTTATATGTATTTTTTTCTCTCCCCAAAGGAGGCTTGCAATAACAACATGTTAATATTAAAAAGCATTTTAGTATAATGCCTGGACATATTTGTTTGTTGGGTGCCATGGTTTTGTCCTCACGTCGGTCTCTGTTTGTTGTTTCCCTTTTCTCTCCAAAAGGAATTCAGTTTGTCCACGGAGAAGATCGCCGAAAAGGATGATGAGAACTCGGAGCGGGGCAACTGGTCCAGCAAAACGGACTACCTGCTCTCCATGGTGGGCTACGCCGTTGGATTGGGCAACGTGTGGCGCTTTCCGTACCTCACTTACCAGAACGGTGGAGGTGAGATTGCGACCCTTTGCTTCATATTTTGCAACAAGGAGGAATTGCAGGATTGCGAGATTGTGGAATTGCAGAATCAGCGCGTGGGACTGCGAATTCACACCGGGTTTCAGTTGGAACTTTAAAGGTCCAGGTTCTCTCATTAGATTCATGTATCAATTGTCTAGACCAGTGGTTCTCCATCTTTTTTTGCCCCACTTTCAATACAGTTTATGGCTGTGGACCCCCAAGATTTATGATATTAGACTGTATCAATGGGGAGATAAGTTAACCTATTAATGTACACATTAATACTGGAATTATTCAGGTTCGGTACTGGGGGATACTGGGATTATTCAGGTTTGGTGCTGGGGATACCGGGATTATTTGGGTTTGTTCCTGGGGAATACTGGGATTATTCAGGTTTGGTGCTGGGGATACTGGGATTATTTGAGTTTGATACTAGGAAATACTGGGATTATTCAGGTTTGGTACTGGAGATACTGGGATTATTTGGGTTAGGTGCTGGGGGATACTGGAATTGTTTAGGTTTGGTGCTGAGGGTACTGGGATTATTCAGGTTTGGTGCTGGGGATACTAGGATTATTTGGTTTCGGTACTGGGGATACTGGAATTATTCAGGTTTGGTGCTGGGGATACAGGGATTATTTGGGTTAGGTGCTGGAGGATACTGGAATTGTTTAGGTTTGATACTGGGGGATACTGGGATTATTCAGCTTTGGTATTGGAGATTCTGGGATTGTTTAGGTTTGGTGCTGGAGGTGCTGGGATTATTTGGGTTTGGTACTGGGAATACGAGGATTATTTGGTTTCGGTATTGGGGGATACTGGGATTATTCAGGTTTGGTGCTGGGATACTAGGATTATTTGGTTTTGGTACTGGGGATACTGGGATTATTCAGGTTTGGTGCTGCGGATACTGAGATTATTCAAGTTTGGTGCTGGGGGATACTAGGATTATCCAGGTTCGGTACTGGGGGATACTGAGATTATTCCGGTTCGGTGCTGGGGATACTGGGATTATTCAGGTTTGGTGCTGAGGATACTGAGATTATTCAGGTTTGGTGCTGGAGATACTGGGATTATTCAGGTTTGGAGCTGGGGTACTGGGATTATTTGGGTTTGTTACTGGGAATACTAGGATTATTTGGTTTTGGTACTGGGGATACTGGGATTATTCAGGTTTGGTGCTGGAGATACTAGGATTATTCAAGCTTGGTGTTGGGGGATACTAGGATTATCCAGGTTCGGTACTGGGGGATACTGGGATTATTCAGGTTTGGTGCTGAGGATACTGAGATTATTCAGGTTTGGTGCTGGGGATACTAGGATTATCCAGGTTCGGTACTGGGGGATACTGGTATTATTCAGGTTTGGTGCTAGGAGATAGCTGAATTACTTGGGTTCGGCACTGGGGGATACTGGGATTATCGAGGTTCAGCACTGAGGGATTCTGGGGTTGTTTGGATGCCTGGCTTCTGGGATCTCGCTCCAGGCTAGCTCTTGTTTAGACTTAATGTTGTGTCGACAAAAGCCAAAGCGATGCCAGTTCCCCGGTGCCCAACGCTCAGCATATCCCATTGTTTTCTTGGGGACAGTCCATTGTCTCCTCGAGCCTTGTGTTTTGTTGCCATTGCATATTGGGAGAACAAAGGGGTTGGCGGCATGGGACCCATTTGTCTTCTCCTTCTCTCTCTCCGCAGGGGCCTTCTTGATACCGTACACCATCATGCTGGCGCTGGCCGGACTGCCGCTGTTCTTTCTGGAGTGCTCCCTGGGCCAGTTTGCCAGCTTGGGACCGGTCTCCATCTGGAGGATCTTGCCCCTCTTACAAGGTGGGCTTTGTGTGCATTGTTCTGTCCTGAATGAATGGGTTTCTGGGACGGAAAGAAAGGAGGAATGAAAAGTGAACTGTGTGAGAAGACTTCTCCCTTCCTGGCTGAGTTTCAAAGGCAGGATTGTGTGTGTGTGCGTTGTGTGTGGGAACACACTTGCGAACAAGGGAAGTGATGTAGTGGAATGGGTATGGGATGGGAGGCATTCTGGTTTAAAGAGAACATGGGGAAAATTCCCTTTTGGGGATGACAACTCGAATCCCTAAAAGGACCTTTCCCCCCAATTTTATCCTTAAGGAAAGAAGCCCCCAGTGGCGCAGTGGGTTAAACCCCTGTGCCGGCAGGACTGAAGACCGACAGGTCGCAGGTTCGAATCCGGGGAGAGGCAGATGAGCTCCCTCTGTCAGCTCCAGCTCCTCATGCGGGAACATGAGAGAAGTCTTCCACAAGGATGATAAAAACATCAAATCCGGGCGTCCCCTGGGCAACGTCCTTGCAGATGGCCAATTCTCTCACACCAGAAGCGACTTGCAGTTTCTCAAGTCGCTCCTGACACGACAAAAAAAAAATTACAGTATTTATACCCCAAACTACAATTATAAAGTAGCAACAAAAATAATTTTATGGTTGGAGGGTCACCACAACACGAGGAGCTGTATCAAGGGGTCACGGCATTGGGAAAGTTGAGAAACAGTGCCCCAAAACGACATTCTCCCCAACTGTCTCTTTATTGAATGCATTTTGGGCATTGTCAACCTCGTAAAGAATCTTTCTCCCAATTCTCCTCTTATAGAATTGATCATTCCCCCAAAAGAACATTTTTGCCTGAATCTACAGTATGGATTCTGGGGATTGTCATTCCCCCAAAGGACAAAAAGCTTGGACCATTTTTGTCCCCTGAGTCTTTGCTGCCAAACCTTCTTTCTTGTGGGAAGATGCAAAGCATGTTTGACCACCTTAAAAAAGGGCCAGCAAAAGTAGAAGCCACCATGGGATCTTAACAGGATAATATCCCCTCTACCATAATAACTGGTGGCGCAGCGGGTTAAACCGCTGAGCTGCTGAACTTATTTATTTATTTCTACTATTTCTATCCCGCCCATATCATCCCGAAGGTGACTCAAGACGACATACAAAGTTGACACAATTCGATGCCATATATAAAATACATACATTGATAAAAAGCAAAAAAGAAACATTACAGTACATTTAGAGACATAAAAACAATGAATAATAAAAAAAATTAAAAACTATGTCCTCTCATTCAAATCCTCATCCGTTCCATCATTTTGGCTATTCCTGGGTCATTTTCTGATTCAAGTTTGTCCATTTATCCCGAGGTTCTGAATGCTTGCTCAAAGAGCCAAGTTTTCACTCTTTGTCAAAAGGTCGGGAAGGAGAGGGCTGATCTAATATCCCTAGGCAGGGAGTTCCAGCATTATTTTTTAATTTTTAATTATCACATTTGGCCCAGCCATTGGTTTTTAAATGTTTGTTGTTACTGTTACTGTTTACTGTTTATTTTTTGTTTATGAGATTTATTTTGATTGTTTTGTATTGATGCTTTGTTATTATTGTTGTTCTATGGGCTTGGCCTCATGTAAGCCGCACCAAGTCCCTTGGGGAGAAGGTAAAGGTAGTCCCCTGACATTAAGTCCAGTCATGTCTGACTCTGGGGTGTGGTGCTCATCTCTATTTCTAAGCCGAAGAGCCAGCGTTGTCCGTAGACACCTCCAAGGTCATGTGGCCGGCATGACTGCATGGAGCGCCGTTACCTTCCCGCCGGAGCGGTACCTATTGATCTACTCACATTTCATGTTTTCAAACTGCTAGGTTGGCAGAAGCTAGGGCTGACAGCGGAAGCTCACACCACTCCCCGGAAACGAACCTGCGACCTTTCGATCAACAAGCTCAGCAGCTCAGTGCTTTAACCCACTGCGCCGCTGGGTTTTTAAAAATTATTATTATTATTATTATTATTATTTCACAGCCGAGGGGCTGCCACAGAGAAGGCTCTGTCTCTCGTCCCCGCCAAACATCCTTGTGAAGCAGGCGGGATCGAGAGCAGGGCCTCCTCCGACGATCTCCAGTTCCTGGTGGGTTTGTAGGAAAAGATGTGTTCAGGTAGATAAGCTGTTTAGGGTCAAAAGGTCAGCAGTTGGAATCCGGGGAGCAGGGTGAGCTCCAGCTGTTAGCCCCAGCTTCTGCCAACCTAGCATTTCGAAAACATGCAAATGTTAGTAGATAAATAGGTATTACTTCATCGGGAAGGTAATGGCACTCCATGTCATGCGGGCCATATGTCCTTGGAGGTGTCTATGGACAACGCTGGCTCTTCAGTCTAGAAATGGAGATGAGCATCAACTCCCAGAGTTGAACATGACTTGACTTAATGTCAGCATAGAATCATAGAAACATAGAGTTGGAAGAAACCTCATGGGCCATCCAGTCCAACCCCCTGCCAAGAAGCAGGAATATTGCATTCAAAGCACCCCTGACAGATGGCCATCCAGCCTCTGTTTAAAAGCTTCCAAAGAAGGAGTCTCCACCACACTCCAGGGCAGAGAGTTCCACTGCTGAACGGCTCTCACAGTCAGGAAGTTCTTCCTCATGTTCAGATGGAATCTCCTTTCTTGTAGTTTGAAGCCATTGTTCCGCGTCCTAGTCTCCAGGAAGGCTGATTAAAAACCACCTGCCTTCCCTTCCTCTCCAGGCGTCGGGGTGACGATGGTGATCATCTCCACCTTTGTGACCATCTATTACAACGTCATCATCGGCTACAGCCTCTACTACTTGTTTGCCTCCTTCCAAAGCGTTCTCCCTTGGGCCGACTGTAACCCCGAATGGGCCGACGACACCTGCAGCAAGTACCCACTAAGTGAGTCATCCATCGGTAGTCCTTTGGAATAATTCGCTGTGCACCTTGTTGTTGTTGTTCTGCATCTACGTTTGCAGAAGGAATGCAGCTTGAGGCCACTTTAACTCCATGCCCAGTGCTATGGAACCCTGCAACTTTACAATAGTTTTGTCGAAGGCTTTCATGGCTGGAATAACTCTGTTGCTGTGAGTTTTCCGAGCTGTATGGCCATGTTCCAGAAGCATTCTCTCCTGACATTTCACCTGCATCTATGGCAGGCATCCTCGGAGGTTGTCAGGTTTTTTGGAAACTAGGCAAGTGGGGTTTCTATATCTGTGGAATATTCAGGTTGGGAGAAAGAAATCTTGCCTGTGAATGTTGCAATTGGCTATCTTTATCAGCACTGAATAGTTTTGCAACTTCAAAGCCTGGCTTCTTCCTGCCTGGGGGAATCCTTTATTGGGAGGTGTTAGCTGCACCTGATTGTTTCCTGTCTGGAATTCCTCTGTTTTTTGAGTGTTGCTCTTTATTTACTCCATTTACACTCTAACAACCACCATATCAAACCATACAGAGAAGAAATTGAAATTCACAATTGATCACCTTGATTAACATTGAATAGCCTTGCAGCTTCAAAGCGTGGCTGCTTCCTGCTTGGGGTAATCCTTTCTTGGAAGGTGTTAGTTGGGCCTGATTGTTTCCTGTCTGGAATTCCCCTGTTTTTGAGAGTTGCTCTTTATTTACCCCATTTACACTCTAACAACCACCATATCAGACTATACAGAGAAGCCATTGAAATCCACAAGCATGTGGACAATTTCAACAGAAAGGAAGAAACCATGAAAATGAACAAAATCTGGCTACCAGTATTAAAAAACTCAAAAATTACAACAGCAAAACAACAGAGAGTAAACAATCAGGCACATCAAATCACCTCTCAACAAAAGATTCCCCCAGGCTCTTCCAAGCCATTAAATGCTAATCAGGGTGGTCAGTTGAAACAGTCACACCTTGCTCCAGCAGACAAGAGTCCTTTGTCCCACCACGGTCATTCCACAGATATATAAACCCATTTTCCTACTTCCAACAGACCTCACTACCTCTGAGGATGCTTGCCATAGATGCAGGCAAAACGTCAGGAGAAAATGCCTCTAGACCATGGCCATATAGCCCGAAAAAACCTACAACAACCCAGTGATTCCGGCCATGAAAGCCTTCGACAATACATTGAACATTGAATAGCCTTGCAGCTTCAAAGCATGGCTGCTTCCTGCCTGGGGGAATCCTTTGTTGGAAGGTGTTAGCTGGGCCTGATTGTTTCCTGCCTGGAATTCACCTTTTTTTTAGTGTTGCTCTTTATTTACTCCATTTACACTCTAAAAACCACCATGTCAGACTACACAGAGAAACCACTGAAATTCACAACTGATCACCTTGATTAACATTGAATAGCCTTGCAGCTTCAAAGCATGGCTACTTCCTGCCTGGAGGAATCCTTTGTTGGGAGGTATTAGTTGGGCCTGATTGTTTCCTGTCTGGAATTCCCCCTTTTTTTAGTGTTGCTCTTTATTTACTCCATTTACACTCTAACAACCACCATGTCAGATTATACAGAGAAGCCATTGAATCACCTTGATTACCATTGAATAGCCTTGCAGCTTCAAAGCATGGCTGCTTCCTGCCTGGGGGAATCCCCTCTTGAACATAATCTGGCTTCCAGTATTAAAAAACTCTAAAATCAGGACAGTAAATAAAGGGCAACACTCAAAAACAGGGGAATACCAGATAAGAAACAATCAGGGCCAGCTGATGACCTCCCAAAAAAGGATTCCCCAGACAGGAAACAGTGAAGCTTTGAAGCTGCAAGGCTATTCAATGCTAATCAAGGTGATCATTTTGAACATTTACACTTGCCTCAAATAGACAAGAGTTATTTCTCCTACCTTGGACTTTCCACAAATATAGTAATAATAATAATAATAATAATAATAATAATAATAATAATAATAATAATCTTTATAATAAACCACCTCTTGCCTAGTTTCCAATAAACCTCACAACCTCTGAGGATGCTCAAAGGGATTGGTGCTCATCTCCATTTGTAAGCTGAAGAGCCAGCATTGACCATAGACACCGACAAGGTTATGTGGCTGGCATGACTGCATGGAGCACCATTACCTTCCCGCTGGAGCAGTACCTATTGATTTACTCACATTTGCATGTTTTTGAACTGCTCGGTTGGCAGAAGCTGGGGCTAACAGCAGGAGCTCACCTCATTCCCTGGATTCGAACCACTGACCTTTTGGTCAGCAAGTTCAGCAGCTCAGCGGTTTAACCTGCTGTGCCACTGGGGGCTCCTTTGGTTAAGGGTAATTGTTGCTTATTATTTCCTGCTCTGCACGCAGAATATGGGTTTTCACAATATATACACACAAAAACACGCCCTTCCTGTCATTAAACCAGAGATTTAGATGTTCATAACATGAAACCACAGCCGCGGAAAACAGAAATTAAAGATATACATCATCCCCTTTGTTTATGCAGGACAAATATTTGCAAAAGCTGTCTCTCAACAGAGCAAAAGAGGCAACATTTACACTTGCCTCCAACAGACAAGAGTTCTTTCTCCCACCCTGGACATTATACCACAGGTGTATAAACCCCTCTTGCCTAGTTTCCAACAGACCTCACAATCTCTGGGGATACCTGCCACAGATGTGGGCAAAACATCAGGAGAGAATATTTCTGGAACATGGCCATACAGCCCAGAAAACTCACAGCAACCCAGTGATTCCAGCCATGAAAGCCTTTGACAACACAATGGTGTTTTGCACAGAAGCTTTATTTTCTGCAGAGGGAATAGTGTTCTCTGTGCAAATCAACCACATGCAACTTTTGAACGGAATTATCCTTGAATTGTGAATGGGCATTCAACAACTGTGTCATTTCCATGGTACAAGGGAAATAGCTAAAATGATTCACTGCTGTTTTGAAAATAAAATGCGGACTTACTTACTTACTTACTTACTTAGGCGATCCCTCGTTTGCCGAGTAGGATAGTCTTCCAGTATTCCTGCTTCTTGGCAGGGGGTTGGACTGGATGGCCCATGAGGTCTCTTCCAACTCTATGATTCTATGATTCTATGATCAGTGTGCTGGTGGGTCCGTGGGTGACTGTGGAGCCCTATTCTTGATCTGCATCTTCTTCTCAGTGAGGGCATTGGTTTCCAGGTGGAAGGCGGTCTCAGTCGGGGTTGGCTTGACGCGCCTTCTCTTGGCACGTTTCTCTCTTTCGCCCTCCATTCGTGCCTCTTCAAATTCTGCAGCACTGCTGGTCGCAGCTGACCTCCACCTGGAGCGCTCAAGGGCCAGGCCTTCCCAGTTCTCAGTGTCTATGCCAGAGTTTTTAAGGTTGGCTTTGAGCCCATCTTTAAATCTCTTTTCCTGCCCACCATCATTCCATTTTCTGTTCTTGAGTTCAGAGTAGAGCAACTGCTTTGGGAGACGGTGGTCGGGCATCCGGACAACGTGGCTGGTCCAGCGGAGTTGATGGCGGAGGACCATCGCTTCAATGCTGGTAGTCTTTGCTTCTTCCAGCACACTGATGTTTTTCCGCTTGTCTTCCCAAGAGATTTGCATGATTTTCCGGAGGCAGCGCTCATGGAATCGTTCCAGGAGTTGCATGTGACGTCTGTAGACAGTCCACGTTTCGCAGGCATATAGCAGGGTTGGGAGGACAATAGCTTTATAAACAAGCACCTTGGTATCCCTACGGATCTCCCAGTCCTGAAACACTCTCTGTTTCATTCGGTAAAAATGCTGCACTCGCAGAGCTCAGGCGGTGTTGTATTTTGGTGTCAATGTTGACTTTGGTGGAGAGGTGGCTGCCAAGGTAGCGGAAATGCGTAATTCTTATAAGGATGCACCCACATTGCAGAATGAATCCACTTTACTTGATGTGGCTCAATGCTTTGGGATCCTGGGAGTTGTAGTTTGGCGCTGCTTGGCAGAGAAGGCTTTGTAAAACGGCAACTCTCAGGATTCTATAGCATTAAGCCGTTGGAGTTACGATGGTATCAAATTGTGTCTGTTCTACAATGTAGATTCCTTCTTGGAATGGTTAGTCGCTGTCTTCTCTTCTTTCTGCTGTGTCTCACAATGGCATCTTCTTCCTTTCCAGTCTCTGACTGCAATGCCACGTTGGGAGACGGAACCGTGATCCATGCCAATTACTCCTGGATTGTGGACCATAACTTGACTTGCCTCAATGACACCAAGAGCTTCGCCAAAACCCAGGTGCCCAGTGAGCAATACTGGAAGTGAGTACCAGGCCAGTTACTTTCCATGCTTTCATGTGTTGCTTCTTAATGTGTCATGCAAGGTTTTTGGGAAGAGGAAAAGGGCTGGAGCTTCAAGACGTCCACAATATAGAAGGTCTCAGGGTGCATCTATATTAGGAATGGTCAACTTGGGCCTCCAGGTGTTTTGGACTTCAACTCCCACCATTCCTAACAGCCTCAGGCCCTTTCCTTTTCCCCCTCAGCTGCTTAAGGAGCCATGGTGGATAGAGTGGTGTTGAGTTGCATTAATTCAATGGTGTGGATAAGGCATGGGCCAACTTGGGCCCTCCAGGTGTTTTGGACTTCAACTCCCATGCTTAAGCGGCTGAGGGGGAAAAGGAAGGGGCCTGAGGCTGTTAGGAATGGTGGGAGTTGGAGTCCAAAACACCTGGAGGGCCCAAGTTGGCCCATGCCTTATCCACACCATTGAATTAATGCAGCTCGACACCACTCTATCCACCATGGCTCCATGCAATGAAGTCATGGGAGATGGGGTTTCGCACAGACTTGAGGCTTCCCTGCTCAAAGAGTACTGGTGCCTTGCCAAACTACAACTCCCACAAACCCATAGCAGCTATAGAGGTCTCTAACTGAATTATTTATGCAGCCAGGGGCAGGAAAGTCAAGCTGAAGCAGGAGCATTAAGACGCTGTCCAAGGTGCTGAGGACCCAATACATTCACCACCATGGATAGCTCCTTGAAGGCTATCCAAATGCTTGTCTCTAGTAATCCCAAGCTTGGAACAACGCTTCCGGTTCTGCTGTGCATCAAAGTAGGCATCACTAAATGACTGAGGGATGTAGTTCTATCAATTTACGAACTTCCTAAAGCCACTTCCCTAGATCTAGACACTATGCTCCTATTGATGCAGGCCAAAATCCCATTGGCTGCCGAATCACATTGTTGGCTCATGTTTGACTTGTTGTCCACGAGGACCCCAAGATCTTTTTCACACATATTGCTCTCGAGCCACCCGTCCCCCATTCTGTATCTTTGCATTTCATTTTTTCTGCCTAAGTGGAGTATCTTGCATTTGTCACTGTTGAACTTCATTTTGTTAGTTTTGGTCAATCATCTCTCTAATCTGTCAAGATCGTTTTGAATCCTGCTCCTATCCTCTGGAGTATTGGCTCTCCTTCCCAATTTGGTGTCGTCTGCAAACTTGATGATCCTGCCTTCTAGCATCTTGCATTTGTCACTGTTGAACTACTGATGGGATGTAGAGGCAGTTAAGCATGTATATCAGCATTTCTCAGTCTGGGGGTTGGGACTTCTGAGGGGGTTGTGAGGGGGTTTCAGAGAGGTCACCAAAGACCATGAGAAAAACTATTTCTGATTGTCTTGGAAACCCCTTTGACAGAGAAGGCTGAAGATCTCTCCTCTTGTCCTTCTCTTCCTTTTTGGAAACAGACAGTGAATCCTCCCACCAAGAACCCTCTTCTGCTATATTTGGTCAGCCTCTCAGCCAGGGGAAGGGCTGTTTCTGAAACTCTAATAAGGGATGGAAGAGCAGTTGTGCTTACCACATGATAGCATGTTGTGCATGTGCGGAAGAGGCAGAGCATGCAAGGTTGGAGAGAGGTCAACAAGTCCCTTCAAAGCATGGGGATTCTGTGTGAGAAGTTTTGCCCAATTCTCTCATTGGTGGGGTTCAGAATGCTCTTTGATTGTAGGTGAACGATAAATCCCAACAACTACAAATCTATTCCCCCCAAATTCTACCAGTATTCACATTTGGGCATATTGAGTATTTGTGCCAATTTTGGTCCAGATCCATCATTGTTGGAGAAATTAGGAAAGCCCTGACCCTAGAAACCTTTAAAAAGAACCTTAAAACCTGACTCTTCCGCTGCACCTTTGGTGAGTAGGTATACAACCTCATACTATTGCTCAGCCTCAATGTTCTTGTCATTGGAGTATATACGTACCCCCCCCCCCCCAATGGGGAAGCTTGACTTCACAATCCCCATTTTAATGAGCCCCCTCTGCATATAACCTGCTTTTCCTTTTATCTCACCCATGTTTTTAATGAGTTTTTAATCAGTATCTCGCACATGTAGCTGCCCATTGTCACTGTGACTGTGTTTATTGTAATCTTATATCATTAATTCATTCATATGTTTTATGTAATGATGATGTTGTTGTTTGTTGCATGTGTTTTTGATTTTATTTTGCTGTAATTTGTTGATTGGGCTTGGCCTCATGTAAGCCACCCTGAGTGGGGAGATGGTGGCGGGTTGTAAATAAAGATTGTTGGTGTTGTTGTTGTTGTTGTTGTTGTTGTTGTTTGAATCCACAGTGCTCTCTGGATGTAGGTGAACTACAATTCCAAGACTTAAGGTCAATGCCCACCAAACTCTTCTAGTGTTTTCTGTTGGTCAGGGGAGTCTGTGTGCCAAGTTTGGTTCAATTCCATCATTGGTGGAGTTCAGAAGCTCTTTGATTGTAGGTGAACTATAAATCCCAGCAACTACAAATTGTCAAGGTCTATTTCCCCTAAACTCCGTGTTCATATTTAGGCATATGGAATTTTTGTGTCAAGTTTGGTCCAGATCCATCATTGTTTGAGTCCACAGTGCTCTCTGGATGTAGGTGAACTACAACTCCCAAACTCAAGGTCAATGCCCACCAAACCCTTCCAGTGTGTTCTGTTGGTCATGGAAGTCCTGTATGCCATGTTTGGTTCAATTCCATCATTGGTGGAGTTCAGAATGCTCTTTGATTGTAGGTGAACTATAAATCCCAGCAACTACAACTCCCAAATGTCAAGGTCTATTTCCCTTAAACTCCATCTGTGTTCATATTTGGGCATATGGAATATTTGTGCCAAGTTTGGTCCAGATCCATCATTGGTCATGGGAGCCCTGTGTGCTAAGTTTGGCCCAATTCCATCATTGGTGGAGTTCAGAATGCTCTTTGATTGTAGGTAAACTATAAATCCCAGCAATGACAATTCCCAAATGACAAAATCATTTTTTTTTGAGTGGAGGACATAAATTGGACTGTTAGGTGTCTTGTGTCCATATTTGGTGTCAATTCCCCCAGTGGTTTTTGAGTTCTGATAGTATCACAAATGAACATTACATTTTTATTTATATAGATGTCGGAGATTTCTCATGTGAGCTGGAATCCAGCAGTAATTCTATTTGCATCTGTTATGAATGAAAAGAAAGCCTACTGATGGGTATTTAATATCACATGGGATTGATCTTCCGAATGTTTGGGGTATTATCTCTTCTCCAAAATTTCATGCGTCTTCTCTGGAGACTCGTTTGCTTGGAATTTGAATACAAACGTCTCTATTGTATATAACGCTTACCGATGCATATTTTGCAGTTGTGTAGGTCGAACCATTATTCCTGTTGCATGTGGGTCACGGTGCCTTCGTCTGGTAATTAATGAAAACCAAGCCGAGGTGAAGCAACGAGACGCACCCCATCCTTGTGTGGGTGCCTCTGAGAATGTGCAGAGGCACACTGGGGCTTGTTTATGGGCGGAAACATGCTACACCTTGCAGGACTTTAGTTGAAGGCTAAATGCTGCAAAACCAACAGGAAAAGATCAGTGTTTGAGGACAGGAAGGCAACCCTGGCAAGCGGGTTTGTGGTTGGACGCCGGCATGCAAAGAATGGCACATCTGTTGGGAATGGTTACGTTTTGGAGTGCAGATCCTCTAAGCCGTTCCCATATCTGCCACCTACACAGTGGTGACATTCAAAAGATGTTTATTGTGTATTTTATTCATTTACATCTTGGGACTAAAGGCAGATAGCAACCTATTTGACAGCAATATAGATTGAAACTATATTGTTGTGGTGTGCCTTCAGGTTGTTTCTGATCTTTGACAACCCTATCACAGCTTTCCTTGGAAAGATTTGGTCAGAAGAAGTTACCAGCATGGAAGGATAGATGTAGAGCAGTGTTTCTCAACCTTCCTAATTCCGCGACCCCTTAATACAGTTCCTCATGTTGTGGTGACCCCCAACCATAACATTATTTTCGTTGCTACTTCATAACTTGGGAGTGACCCTAGACTCATCGCTGAGCCTGGAACCCCAGGTTTCGGCGGTGGTCAGGGGAGCTTTTGCACAATTAAAACTTGTGCGCCAGCTGCGCCCGTACCTTGGGAAGTCTGACTTGACCACGGTGGTCCACGCTCTGGTTACATCCCATTTAGACTACTGCAACGCTCTCTACGTGGGGTTGCCCTTGAAGACTGCTCGGAAGCTTCAAATGGTCCAGCGCTCGGCAGCCAGGTTGCTAACAGGAGCGGCACTCAGGGAGCATACCACTCCTCTGTTGCGCCAGCTCCACTGGCTGCCAATTTGCTACCGGGTACAATTCAAAGTGCTGGCGTTAGCCTATAAAGCCCTAAACGGTTCCGGCCCTACTTACCTCTCCGAACGCATCTCCACCTATGAACCGACCAGGACATTAAGATCGTCTGGGGAGGCCCTGCTCTCGGTCCCGCCTGCATCGCAGGCAGGCCTGGCGGGGATGAGAGACAGGGCCTTCTCGGTGGTGGCCCCTCGGCTGTGGAATGCCCTAACTGCAGACATCAGACAGGCCCCCTCGCTGTTGGCGTTCTGGAGGAAGGTGAAGACCTGGCTCTTTGAACAAGCATTTGGCTAATCAGTGCAATGGAATATAGGAACACAGTGCAATTGAACATAGGAATATGGAACAAGGATTACGAGAAAGGATTCTGATTTGTTGTTGAGGCAATATGATTATGATAATAATTGTCTCTTGATATTGATTGTTATGTAGAATGTATAATGTGTTTTAACCTGCTTTTGATACTGTCTTGTGATTTTGTGTTATGTAAACCGCTTTGAGTCGCCTAAGGGCTGAGAAAAGCGGTATAGAAGTAAAGTAAATAAATAAATAAATAAACTGTAATTTTGCTACTTTTATGAATCGTCATTAAATATCTAATATGCAGGATGTATTTTCATTCACTGGACCAAATTTGGCACAAATACCCAATACACCCAAATTTGAATACTGGTGGGGTTGGGAGGGGGGAATTGATTTTGTCATTTGGGAGTTGTAGTTGCTGGGATTTATAGTTCACCTACAATGAAAGAGCATTCTCAACTCCTCCAATGATGGATTTGAACCAAACTTGGCACATAGAACTCTGACAGAAGGCCATCCAGCCTCTGTTTAAAAGCTTCCAAAGAAGGAGCCTCCACCACACTCTGAGGCAGAGAGTTCCACTGCTGAATGACTTTCACAGTCAGGAAGTTTTTTTAATTGATTTTTTAATGAAGGACTGGGTTAGGGGTACAATTTACGTATTGGTATATCATAAAATTAAGAGTGCAACTAAAAGGTGTGAATATGTAAAGAAGAGGAAGAGAAAGAAAAAAAGAAAAAAAGGAGGAGAGAAGGAATAGCATAAGAAGGAAAAGGAAAAAAGGGGGGAAGAGGAAAAAATAGAAAAAGAAAAAAGGGAAGTACGAGAAGGGATTAGGTCTGATTTATTTACTACTTTCCCACATAGTTGTGTTAGTATTGTTGTATTCCTTCGAAGCTTTCTTCTCACCAGCCTATGTTTGTTTGATGTTGACATAATTCTTGATTGGGGACCAGTCTGTCTTTTCCACTGTAAGATTCTGTTTGGCTCTATGTAATTGAGTTAAATTGTCCATATTCATAATATCAAATATCTTGATTATCCATTCGTCTGATGTTGGAGTCTCTTTAGAGCAGTGTTTCTCAATCTTCCTAATGTTGCGACCCCTTAATACAATTCCTCATGTGTGGTGACCCCCAACCATAATATTATTTTCGTTGCTACTTCATAACTGTAATTTTGCTACTGTTATGAATTCAAATGTAAATCACTGATATGCAGGATGTATTTTCATGCACTGGACCCAATTTTGCACAGATACCCAATAAACCCAAATTTGAATACTAGCGGGGTTGTGCAGGGGGTTGGTTTTATCATTTGGGAGTTGTAGTTGCTGGGATTTATAGTTCACCTACAATCAAAGAGCATTCTGAACTCCACCAATGATGAAATTAAACCAAACTTGGCACACAGAACTCCCACGACCAACAGAAAATACTGGAAGGGTTTGGTGGGCATTGACCTTGAGTTTTGGAGTTGTAGTTCACCTACATCCAGAGAGCACTGTGGACTCAAACAATGATGGATCTGGACCAAACTTAGCATGAATACTCAATATGCCCAGATGTGAACACTGGTGGCGATTGGGGAAAATAGACCTTGACATTTGGGAGTTGTAGTTGCTGGGATTTATAGTTCACCTACAATCAAAGAGCATTCTGAACCCCACCAACGATAGAATTGGCCCAAACTTTTCACACAGAACCTCCATGACCAGCAGAAAATACTGTGGGTTGTTGTAGGTTTTTTTGGGCTATATAGCCATGGTCTAGAGGCATTCTCTCCTGACGTTTCGCCTGATGTTTTGCCTGTTATGCCCAAATGTGAACACTGGTGGCGTTTGGGGGAAATAGACCTTGACAGTTGGGAGTTGTAGTTGCTGGGATTTATAGTTCACCTACAATCAAAGACCATTCTGTCCATCAATGATAGAATTGGGCCAAACTCCCCACAGAGAACCCCCATAACCAACATAAAATACTGTGTTTTCTTTTTTTTTAAGTGAGAATAAAAGTGAGCTCCCTAAAGAAAGGAGCAACCATTGAAATGAAGAGGTAGTAAAAAAAATACTGTGTTTCCTGATGGTCTTTGGCGACCCGTCTGACACCCCCTCGTGACCCCTCCCCCCAGGGGTCCCGACCCCCAGGTTGAGAACCACTGCTTTAGAGAGTTCCACTGCTGAACAGCTCTCACAGTCAGGAAGTTCTTCCTAATGTTCAGATGGAATCTCTTTTCTTGTGGTTTGAAGCCATTGTTCCATTGCATCCTAGTCTCCAGGGCAGCAGAAAACAAGCTTGCTCCCTCCTCCCTATGACATATTTATACATATTCTGTGTGATGGGGGTAAGCCTTTAAAGACAGAATGCCACACAAAGAAGATGATTGTCCCGTATTTCCCCCAGCTCCCTCTGATGAAGTCCTAAGTAATATCTCAGCACCTTCTTTCCCATTTCAGTTGCTCCATCTGCCGTCTCCAAAGGTCTGACACTTCCACTATCTGACACTTCCACTATCTGACACTTCCACCACCAAAGGTCTGACACTTCCACTATCTGACACTTCCACTTCCAGGTCTGACACTTCCACTCCATCTGCCGTCTCCTTACTGACACTTCCACTATCTTGTCCTTCCAGCAAAAAGGTCCTCCAGCGATCATCAGGATTAGACGAGACCGGAGAGGTTGTCTGGTATCTCGCCCTCTGCCTTCTCCTTTCCTGGCTCATAGTAGGCGTGGCCTTATTCAAGGGGATCAAGTCTTCTGGGAAGGTAAGCGAATTTGTCCATGAATCATTCCTTACAGCCTTTTGCCAGATCCATGACATTTCAGGGCACAAACCTAAAGCTGGGAAGGGGGCACTTGAGGTGTCAAGAGGGCCAAAAAGGACAAAATGTTGGGATATTGGAGAATTATCTTTTGGCTTTCTGAAGTTTAACGCCTGTTTAAAGGTGTTCAGCAACTGTTTATGGAGCCCCCGGTGGCACAATGGGTTAAACCCCTGCGCCGGCAGGACTGAAGACCGACAGGTCGTAGGTTCGAATCTGGGGAGAGAGCAGATGAGCTCCCACTATCAGCTCCAACTTCTCATGCGGGGACATGAGAGAAGCCTCCCTCAAGGATGATAAAACATCCGGGCGTCCCCTGGGCAACATCCTTGCAGACCGCCAATTCTCTCACACCAGAAGCGAATTGCAATTTCGCAAGTCACTTCTGACACGACAAAAAAGTAATTGTTTAGGGGTGCCTGATATTTATTTAGAGTCTGTAATGCAGTGTTTCTTAACCTGGGAGTCGGGACCCCTGGAGGGGTCACGATGGAAGTTTCAGAAGGGTCGCCAAAGACCATCAGAAAACACATATTTCTGATGGTCTTAGGGACCTTTTTGGTAGAGAAGGGTGAAGATTTCTCTGCCTGTCTTTCTCTTCCTTTTTGGTGTTGGTGAACTACAACTCCCAGAATTCTAAAACAGGCTCCACCCAACCACACCAGTATTCAACATTGGCCATGTAGGAAGTGTACCAAGTTTGGTGCAGATCCATTGTGGGCTGGGTTCTTTGATTGCAGGTTAACTATAAATCCCAGCAACAACTCCCAAATGTCAAGGCCTATTTCCCCCAGTTTCCACCAGTATTCACATTTGAACATATTGAGTAGTCTTCTCATGGTCCAGATCCATCATTTTTTGAGTTCACAGTGCTCTCTGGAAGTAGGTGAACTACAACTCCCAAACTCAAGGTCAATGCCTACCAGACCCTTTCAGCATTTTCTGTTGGTCATGGGAGTTCTGTGTGCCAAGTTTGGTTCAATTCCATCGTTGATGGAGTTCAGAATGCTCTTTGATTACAGGTAAACTATAAATCCCAGCGACTACAACTCCCAAATGACAAAATCAATACCCCCCCCCCCCGATCCCACAATTATCGGGTATTGTGCCAAATTTGCTCCAGTGAATGAAAATACATCCTGTATATCAGATTTTTTTTCATTACGATTCATAACATTAGCAAACTTACAGTTATGAAGTATCAATGAAAATAGTGTTATGGTTAGGGGTCACCACAACATAAGGGGTCGCAGCATTAAGAAAGTTGAGAACCACTGCTGTAATGTCTGTTCAGGTGCATTTGGTACCTGTTTAGATTTTTTTAGTGCCTGTTTAAGACTGTTTAGTGCCTGTTTATGGGTGTTTGGCATCTGTTTAGGGTGGTTAGTGCCCGTTTACATTTGTTTAGCACCTGTTTAGGGATGTTTGACCCCTGTTTAGGGGTGTTTGGCACCTGTTTAAGGGTGTTTTTGCTACCTGCTTAAGGTTATTAGTGCCTGTCTAAAGTTGTTTAGCACCTGTTTAGGGGTGTTTGACCCCTGTTTAGGGGTGTTTGGCACCTGCTTAAGGGTGTTAGTGCCTGTCTATATTGGTTTAGCACCTGTTTAGGGGTGTTTGACCCTTGTTTAGGGGTGTTTGGCACCTGCTTAAGGGTGCTAGTGCCTGTCTATATTTGTTTAGCACCTATTTAGGGGTGTTTGACCCCTGTTTAGGGATGTTTGGCACCTGCTTAAGGGTGTTAGTGCCTGTCTATATTTGATTAGCATCTGTTTAGCACCTGTTTAGGTGTATCCAGTGCCTGTTTAGGGTGTTTAGTGTCTGTTTAGGGGTATTTGGCATCCATTTAAGGTTATTAGTACCTATTTAAAAAGTGTTTAGTGCCTGTTTAGGGGTGGTCAACACCTGTTTAGGGTTGTTAGGACCTGTTCAGAGAAATTTGGCTATGATCATAGTGAGTAAAAAAAGCCCTAGACCTCTTGCCAGTTTCACAGACATCTTGGCATGCGATGGTGGTGGGTGCAAATGGGATGATCTTGCTTGCAACCGGAGAACCAGCTGAACTGGCTGGGTGAAACCTTGAGAGAGCAGAAATGATTATCCTGAGTGGGGAAGGGCCAAATCCCTTCCTTGGTTGCACTCCTGGGTGGGACCAACCTTTACCTTGGCCAGCTCAGGCCAATTTAGCATGAGGACATTGGGGCCCTCCTACGAGAAGCTGCCGAAGGAATTCTGTGGGTATCTTGGGACAGATAAAAGTTTCATCGGAATGGGTCAGCTTGACTGACACACCTCTCTTGGGGGTGATCCTGGGATGCCGACGGAGACGTCAAATTCCTGTGGCACGCTGCCAATGGGAGTGTATACATATATACACACGCACATGGCAGACAATGTTCTCTGATGAGTCACGGTTTCAACAGGAGGCAAATCATGCTTCCAGTTTGGGGTTACAGAAAAAAAGAAAGCCCAGTAGCATCTCAGACAGACTACTGTAAGGGGCTTCTTTTGGAAATGGTCCAAAGGCTTCTCAAGTATAGAGGCTGAGAGGAGAGAATGCATTACTGTGCAAAGCCCTAAATAGCTTTAGATGTTGTTGTTGTTTTTGTAGACGGAGCATCCCTTATCCAAAATATCTGGGACCAGAAATTTATTATTATTTATTTAAAAGTTTTGTATACCGGCCTTCTCACATCTCTTGAGGGACTCAGACCGGTTTCCAACCATAATATCACAGACAATCAATAAAACATTATAATACATGTTACAGTAAAACATTAAAACAGCAATTACAATCAATAACTATAACGGTCAGTCGTCACACTAAAATCGTTGCTCATCATCCTCGATCCATATCTCAGGGTGTTGGCTCACTCGTCGAATGCCTGTCTCCATAATCAAGTCTTCACCTGTTTCCTAAATGTCAGGATAGACGGGGCGGTTCTGATCTCCAGTGGGAGAGAGTTCCAGAGTTGAGGGGCCACCACCGAGAAGACCCTGTCCCTCGTCCCCACCAGACGCGCTTGCGAGGCAGGTGGGACCGAGAGCAGGGCCTCTCCAGACGATCTTAATAATCTTGATGGTTCGTAGGGGAGAATACGTTCGGAGAGGTAAAAATGTTCCATTTTTTTTTTTATTCTTCCCCCCCCCCCCCCAAATTTTGGAATACCTGTATTTGCGTATGCATACATTATGTTGTTGGAGAAGGGACCTAAGTATAAACCTGAAATTCATGTATGTTTAATAGATAAATTATAGTTTAGGTGCATTTAACAACCAGAATCCAAACATTTCACTCTCTCGGTCTCCCTGGAGACAGTTTCAGCGCGTCTCGGACTTCAGAATTACAGATGACAGATACACAACCCGTGTCAATGTTGTTGTTATTCTCATCTTGTATCCCACCTTTCTCTCAATAGTGAGACTCAAGGCATCTGGCAGCATATTTGCAGCATGACAAGGGAGACAAAAGTAGTAATGGAGAAATCTCCGTATCTGCTTCCTCCTCCAACCACAGCATTAAAATGTTTGCTTCTGTCTTATCTTCTGTCAGGGTGGGAGAGAAACAGGAATGATGGATTGCAGTACATCAATTACAGTCATTATTTGTAAATAGTGTTTTGGTGTGTGGGAACATTCTTCATACCAAAATACCGTAACCAGTTATGCATTTGGAAGCAAAGCTATTGGCTGATTTCCAGTACGGAATCTGGTCACTTTAAGGAGCTAGGTACACATGTCTGTGTTACCAACAGGATTCCAGCTTTGGAAGAATTCTTCTTCCAAATTCATTTATCCTTCAGTGAAAACACACACACACATCTTTGAACACAGAGAGTGCTCACTAATGCTTCCTCTTCATCTTGGAAAGAAGTGACAAGTGGAGTGCCGCAGGGTTCCGTCCTGGGCCCGGTCCCGTTCAACATCTTTATTAATGACTTAGATGAAGGGCTAGAAGGCATGATCATCAAGTTTGCAGACGACACCAAATTGGGAGGGAGAGCCAATAGTCCAGAGGACAGGAGCAGAATTCAAAACGATCTTGACAGATTAGAGAGATGGGCCAAAACTAACAAAATGAAGTTCAACAGTGACAAATGCAAGATACTCCACTTGGCAGAAAAAACGAAATGCAAAGATACAGAATGGGGGACAATGCCTGGCTCAAGAGCAGTACGTATGAAAAAAGATCTTGGAGTCCTCGTGGACAACAAGTTAAACATGAGCCAACAATGTAATGTGGCGGCAAAAAAAGCCAATGGGATTTTGGCCTGCATCAATAGGAGCATAGTGTCTAGATCTAAGGAAGTAATGCTACCCCTCTATTCTGCTTTGGTTAGACCACATCTGGAATATTGTGTCCAATTCTGGGCACCACACTTCAAGAGAGATATTGACAAGCTGGAATGTGTCCAGAGGAGGGCGACTAAAATGATCAAGGGTCTGGAGAACAAGCCCTATGAGGAGCGGCTTAGGGAACTGGGCATGTTTAGCCTGAAGAAGAGAAAGCTGAGAGGAGATATGATAGCCATGTATAAATATGTGAGAGGAAGCCACAGGGAGGAGGGAGCAAGCTTTTTTCTGCTTCCTTGGAGACTAGGACGCGGAACAATGGCTTCAAACTACAAGAGAGGAGATTCCATCTGAACATTAGGAAGAACTTCCTGACTGTGAGAGCCGTTCAGCAGTGGAACTCTCTGCCCCGGAGTGTGGTGGAGGCTCCTTCTTTGGAAGCTTTTAAACAGAGGCTGGATGGCCATCTGTCAGGGGTGCTTTGCAATATTCCTGCTTCTTGGCAGGGGGTTGGACTGGATGGCCCATGAGGTCTCTTCCAACTCTTTGATTCTATGATTCTATGATTCTATAAGTACAGAGTACAGATGTCTACGTCACCATGTTCTAGCTTTTAGCAAATTCTTGTGTGTCCAGACCATCCAATTGTAGTGAAGAATGACAATTTTATTCCAAATTTATTTATCCTTTGATGGAGGGCCTTCTGGTCCCTCCAATAGACAAAAACACACACACACACACAGCTTTGAAGTACAGATGTCTAATTGCCTATGTCATCAACAGGATTCCAGTTCTGGGTGAATTATTGTGAGAAATTGCCGAGACCATTCAATTATAGTAAGGAATGATGAATTTCTTCCAAATTCATTTATCCTTCAGTGGAGGACTTTGTGGGCCCTCCAATACACAACACATACACACAACTTTGAAGTACAGATATCACCGTCAGGATTTCAGCTTTGGATGAATTCTTGTATGAAGTCACCCAAGTTGAGTCCATGTTGTAGCGAGGATGATAAGATCCTTCATATTCGATTATCCTTGGATGGAAGGCCTTGTGGCTCCTCCAGTAGACAACACGCACGCACGCACACGCACACACACACACACACACACACACACACACACAAGAACAGATGTCTTTGTCACCAACAGGATTCCAGCTTTGGATGAATTCTTATGTGAGGTCTCCCAGGCCAAACCTGTAGTGAAATATGACAAGTTTCTTCCATATGCATTTATCCACACATACAAGAACAGATGTCTTTGACACCAACGGGATTCCAGCTTTGGATGAATTCTTATGTGAGGTCTCCCAGGTCAAGCCTGTAGTGAAACATGTCAAGTTTCTTCCAAATGCATTTATCCTTTGATGGAGGACCTTCTGGTCCCTCCAATAGACAACATACACAAACAACTTTGAAGTAAAGATGTCCAAGTCACCAACATGATTCAAGCATTGGATTCAGGTTGTCTGTAGTGTGGTAGACCTGTAGGATTTGATAAAATATAAAGGCATATCCAGGTGATAAATTGCTGAGTCAGTAGGACAAAGCAAGTGTTTGATGCAACCAGAAATGTGTGCTTGCATCAGGTAGTGAATGATGAAACCATGAATGTGGCATTGCACCATGTGGATGCCTATAAAAGCAGGATAGACATCATGTATTGGATGATGGTCATCCTAGATGGTGTTTGACAATGCGTGCTGGAGAGATGAGATCTAAATAAAGAAATGTGCTGTGTCTGCATTGCTGAACTTCAATTTAAAGAACTTTCCTGATTGTGAATGAACTTTGGTTGTTTGCTGTGTTTGCTGTTCCTTCAGGTATCTCCTGAGCACTTAGAAAATTTAGAGACTTTCTTGCATTCTGCAGAGGTCATACAGAGCCTGACATAGACAGTAGACATATACAACTCTGAAGTACAGATGTCTATGTCACCAACAGGATTCCAGCATTGGATGATTTTTTGTGTGAAGTCACCCAAGTTGAGTCTGTAGTGTAATAGGCAACACACATATGCAACTCTGAAGTACAGATGTCAATGTCACCAACAGGATTCCAGCATTGGATGAACTTTTGTGTGAAGTCACCCAGGTTGAGTCTGTAGTGCAATAGGCAACACACATATGCAACTCTGAAGTACAGATGTCAATGTCACCAACAGGATTCCAGCATTGGATGAACTTTTGTGTGAAGTCACCCAGGTTGAGTCTGTAGTGCAATAGGCAACACACATATGCAACTCTGAAGTACAGATGGCAATGTCACCAACAGGATTCCAGCATTGGATGAATTTTTGTGTGAAGTCACCTGGGTTGAGTCTGTAGTGCAATAGGCAACACACATATGCAACTCTGAAGTACAGATGGCAATGTCACCAACAGGATTCCAGCATTGGATGGATTTTTGTGTGAAGTCATCCGGGTTGAGTCTGTAGTGCAATAGGCAACACACATATGCAATTCCAAAGTACAGATGTCAATGTCAGCAACAGGATTCCAGCATTGGATGGATTTTTGTGTGAAGTCTCCCAGGTTGAGTCTGTAGTGCAATAGGCAACACACATATGCAATTCTGAAGTACAGATGTCAATGCCACCAACAGGATTCCAGCATTGGATGAATTCTTGTGTGAAGTCTACTGAGTTGAGTCTGTAGTGCAATAGGCAACACACATATGCAACTCTGAAGCACAGATGTCAAGGTCACCAACAGAATTCCAGCATAGATTGAATTCTTGTGTGAAGTCTCCCCAGGTTGAGTTATAGTGAAAGATGACAGGTCTCTTCCAAATCATTTATCCTTAGGTGGAGGACCTTGACCATCTTTGGCTGACGCAGACATGTCCCTTCCTCTAAGTACCCACCCCCTCCTTATCCATGACCTTCCTCTCAGGCCAATGTCCGTCTCAACCTTGGTTTCCAACCTTGGTTTCCATTCCCGTCACAGGTTGTCTACTTCACGGCCATCTTCCCTTACATCGTCCTCATCATATTGCTGGTACGAGGTGTCACTTTGGAAGGGGCCCGGGAAGGCATTGAGTATTACATCGGGAACCAGTCCAACTTCACCAAACTCATGGAGGCAGAGGTGAGTAGAGTGCCACGTCCGACTACATCAAACATTACTCTGGAAATTGGATATATTCTACATCTTTTTCATTAGGACCCCCAGATTTCAAGATCTGACCTCAATCCTCAAAGGGAGGAATCTCAGGGAAAGAGCTGTGCCTTGAAAAAAAGAGGGTGTGTTTTATGTGTTGGCTTATTTTATTTTTACATCACCTTTTTTCAATATAGGGACTCAAAGTGGCAAATAATTTGACTCATTTGTTTACTTGCTTTTATTGTAAATGGCATTTTTGTGTTACGTCCAATTTATTTATTTATTTATCGTGTCATCAGCAACCATACCATTGTATTACAATTCTAACAGAACAAAACAAACACACAGATTAAAAAGAAAAAAACACACACACAGATTTTGCAAACTTGGTAGTTGGTTAAATGTCCTTTGACCAGTATCTGGCCACTTGGAGTGCCTCTGGTGTTACCGCAAGAAGGTCCTCCATTGTGCATGTGGCAGGGCTCAGGTTGCATTGCAGCAGGTGGTCAGTGGTTTGTTCTTCTCCACACTCGCATGTCGTGGATTCCACTTTGTAGCCCCATTTCTTAAGATTGGCTCTGCATCTCGTGGTGCCAGAGCGCAGTCTGTTCAGCGCCTTCCAAGTCGCCCAGTCTTCTGTGTGCCCAGGGGGGAGTCTCTCATCTGGTATCAGCCACTGGTTGAGGTTCAGGCTAAACATGCCCAGCTCATTAAGCCGCTCTTCATAGGGCTTAAAATTAGTTTCGTTGCTACTTCATCACTGTCATGTGCCCAGAGGGGAGTCTCTCATCTGGTATCACTCATGGATTGAGGTGCTGGGTTTGGGCCTGCCACTTTTGGACTCTCGCTTGCTGAGGTGTTCCAGCGAGTGTCTCTGTAGATCTAGAAAACTATTTCTTGATTTAAGTCGTTGACGTGCTGGCTGATACCCAAACAGGGGATGAGCTGGAGATGTCTCTGCCTTGGTCCTTTCACTATTGGCTGCAACTTCCCGGCGGATGTCAGGTGGTGCAATACCAGCTAAGCAGTGTAATTTCTCCAGTGGTGTAGGGCGCAGACACCCCGTGATAATGCGGCATGTCTCATTAAGAGCCACATCTACTGTTTTAGTGTGGTGAGATGTGTTCCACACTGGGCATGCGTACTCAGCAGCAGAGTAGCATAGTGCAAGGGCAGATGTCTTCACTGTGTCTGGTTGTGATCCCCAGGTTGTGCCAGTCAGCTTTCATATGATGTTGTTTCTAGCGCCCACTTTTTGCTTGATGTTCAGGCAATTGATCATGGCATAGTATGCTTATTAGATTCCTTTTGATATCATCCTCTGACATCAGCAAGTCCTATTACTTTTGGTGCTATCATAAGAACAACTCTTCCTGAGGTCTCAAATTGTAGCCTGGAAACCTGAGATCTTTACATAGTTCTGGATTGGGAAGCCTGATTTTCAGGAACTATGGACTATTCCCCTCATATTGTATCAGTTATTTTTGGCAGAAAGGATTTCGGGGCCACTCAAGTGACTGCCAGCTACCAGGCAGCATGCATTTTCCAAATTTACCTGACATTTTTGTGCAACTCACACATACAAATACATACATGTAACAACTCACTCTGCTTCTCTCTTCTTCACAAGGTCTGGAAAGATGCAGCGACACAGATTTTCTTCTCATTGTCGGTGGCCTGGGGTGGGCTGGTGGCCCTCTCTTCATACAACAAGTTCCACAACAACTGCTATTCAGATGCCATCTTTGTCTGCGTGATCAACTGCCTCACGAGTGTCTTTGCCGGCTTTGCCATCTTCTCCATCTTGGGGCACATGGCCTTCATGGCAGACAAGAAAGTCTCAGAGGTCGTCGATTCAGGTGAGGCCAGAGTTCGAATGCCTGCTTGGCCATGGAAACCCATTGGGAAAGTCACATTCTTCCATGCAGCATCCATTCTATTGTGATTTGTGTCTGGATATCATTAACAACATTCTTCAGAAATAGGCAGATTGCATTCTCAGATTATTATTTTTTTCATGTCAGGAGTGACTTGAGAAACTGCAAGTCAGTTCTGGTGTGAGAGAATTGGCCATCTGCAAGGACGTTGCCCAGATGTTTGATGTTTCTACCATCCTTGTGGGAGGCGTCTCTCATGTCCCTGCATGGGGAGCTGGAGCTGACAGAGGGAACTCAACCCACTCTCCCCAGATTCAAACCACTGACCTATTGGTCAGCAATCCTGCTGGCACAAGGTTTTAACCCATAGTGCCACTGGGGGCTCCATTATGTACAAAGAGAGACTACCGTATATTCCGGCATATAAGACGACTGGGCATATAAGACGACCCCCAACTTTTCCAGTTAAAATATAGAGTTAAGACGACTCCCATGCATAAGACTACACCCACGTATAAGACGACCCCTGACTTTTGAGAAGATTTTCTTGGGTTAAAAAGTAGTCTTATATGCCAGAATATACTGTATTTTATTTTTAGGAATGTGTTTGCAAACAGCTAATATTTAATATATTGGGCTCTTTGCTTTAAATAATATGAGGCTGAGGCAGTGTGGGACAGTGAGAGAGTTAGAATATTAACTGGTTGCCATTCATTTTCCGGACCCAATTCAAGGTGCAGGTTCTTACCTACAAAGCCCTGAACGGTTTGGGACCCGCCTACCTGCATGACCGCATCTCTGTTTACGAACCCACACAATCTCTTCGATCATCTGGAGAGGCCCTGCTCTCGATCCCACCAGCATCGCAGCCGCAATTGGTGGGGACGAGAGAGAGGGCCTTTTCGGTGGTGGCCCCTCGACTCTGGAGCTCACTTCCTAAGGACATCAGGCAGGCCCCAACTCTGGCAGTCTTTAGGAGGAGCTTGAAAACGTAGTTGTTCCAATGTGCCTTCCCAGAATAATGCCTCCATAGCACTTTGTCCTACAAAGCACTTTATATTTTTAGGTCTGCTTGTTTGTTTTCCACAATGCCCCATCACTTTTTCGCCCATGTTCCAGCATTACTTTTAATTTTACATTTGGCCTTCTCATAGTTTTAATCGTGTGGTCTTATTGTTAATGCTGTATGTTTTATTTTAATTGCTTGTATTGTTGTTTATTGCATGTATTGTTGTATTTGGGCTCGGCCTCATGTAAGCCATACTAAGTCCCTTGGAGAGATGGTAGCGGGGTACAAATAAAGTGTTGTTATTATTATTATTATTATTATTATTATTATTATTATTATTATTATTTGTCCTTTTGTCTAGAATTATTTCTTATTGGGTTGTTGCAGGTTTTTTCGGGCTATATGGCCATGTTCTAGAGCAGTGCTTCTCAACCTGGGGTCCCCAGATGTTTTTGGCCTACAACTCCCAGAAACCTCAGCCAGTTTATCAGCTGTTAGGATTTCTGGGAGTTGTAGGCCAAAAACATCTGGGGACCCCAGGTTGAGAACCACTGTTCTAGAGGCATTTTCTCCTGACGTTTCGCCTGCATCTATGGCAAGCATCCTCAGAGGATGCTTGCCATAGATGCAGGCAAAATGTCAGGAGAGAATGCCTCTAGAACATGGCCATATAGCCCGAAAAAAACCTACAACAACCCAGGGATTCCAGCCATGGAAGCCTTCGACAATTATTTCTTATTGTATCTAGTTGTATATACTCTTATTTTCTGAAAAATAATGCTGGTCTTTGACCGTAATATATCTTCAGTTTCCATGGTTTGAGTTGTGGTCTGTGTTGACCATGCTCAAAAGATGCCTTCTAACATTGCAACTATTTCTGCTCCTCTTCAGGCTTTGACCTGGCATTTGTTGCCTATCCAGAAGCTCTCTCCAAGTTACCAGTTGCTCCTCTTTGGTCCTTTCTGTTCTTCTTCATGCTGCTGCTGTTGGGCCTGGATTCCCAGTTTGCAACCATTGGTGAGTACTGGTTAAAGACATTTAATGGGTCTCACAGTCTTGCTACAGTTTTCTGTGGTGGCTTCATGAACCATATCCAAAGACAAAAGCTTCATGCATTCTAACGAAGCGGTTGCCCATTCCATAGACTTAACTTGTACTTTTCTGAAACTGAATTTAGGCATCAGGTTGAATGTTAATTTTCCCTTTCCTTGCTGTAACTTTTGCCCTCTGGGTCCTTTCCACCTATAATGCTCATCAGCCCTAGCCTGCATAGCTAATGGTGATGGAGAATGGGAATTGCAGTCCAAACACAGCTGGAGGGCCACTGCTGTCCAACACATGTGGTTATGGTGACTTTAGTCATAAATACTTGAAAACGGCTCCGGCCTAGCGTACCTGTCTGAACGTATCTCCTTCTACGTCCCGCCTAGGGATTTAAGATCTTCTGGAGTGACCCTTGTCACAAATGAGACTGGCCGGGACGAGGGACAGGACCTTCTCGGTGGTGGTCCCCCGCCTGTGGAATTCACTCCCCGGGGAAATTAGATCATCATCATCCCTCCTCTCTTTTAGAAGGAAATTAAAAACATGGATATGGGACCAGGCAGACTGACAAGGACAATGACGATTAGAGCTTTGAAACGGATTATGATAAGTTGAATGGACTCACTAATTACAGATCTTGGTGAAACGATGGCCACCAGACTGGCTTTTTTCTAATAGATTGTATTGTATTAACTTAATATTTTAATTATTTATAATTACTGTTGTTGGATATTTTACTATTTTGAATTGTAGGCATCGAACATGTGCCGATTGGAAGCCGCCCTGAGTCCCCTCTAAGGGGTTGAGAAGGGCGGGGTAAAAATACCCAAAATAAATAAATAAATAAAACTGATTGAAATGTATTGCTAGAATGCAGAAACTTCAGTCCTCCAAGGGTGACTGGGCTAAATGATTCCATATTGGATGTTATTTTATTTGTGTGTCAGGAACGACTTGAGAAACTGCAAGTCACTTCTGGTGTGAGAGAATTGGCGGTCTGCAAGGATGTTGCCCAGGGGACACCCTGATGTTTTACCATCTTGTGGGAGGCTTCTCTTATGTTCCCGCATGAGAAGCTGGAGCTGTCAGATGGGAGCTCACCCCACTCCCTGGATTTGAACCGCTGACACTAGGGTTTAATCCAGTGGTTCTCAACCTGTGGGTCCCCAGATGTTTTGGCCTTCCACTCCCAGAAATCCTAACATCTGGTAAACTGGCTGGGATTTCTGGGAGTTGTAGGCCAAAACACCTGGGGACCCACAGGTTTAGAACCACTGGTTTAATCCATTGCACCACCAGGGGCTCCTTATTGGATGTTATACCATCCTATTGGATGTTATAGCAGCTATGGACCTTGAGTCTGGAGACCAGGGTTGAAATCCTCAGTCATGAAACCCATTGGGTGATCTGGGGAATGTATATGTGTTTTGTGTGTGTGTATAATATATGTGTGTATATGTATATATATATTTGTGTATGTGTGTTTGCGTATATATATATATATGTGTGTGTGTGTGTGTGTGTATTTGTGTATTTATATGTGTACATGCAGATTGTGTATATGTGTGTGCTTGTCTATATGCATATTTGTGTGTATATATATATATGTTGATATGTATATGTGTGTGCATGTATGTGTGCATGTGTATATGTATATGTGTATATGTATGTATGTATATGGGTATATCTGTGTGTGTTTGTGCATATATATACATGTGTGTGTGTGAATGTGTGCATGTGCATATGAATATAAGTGTTATCTGTATATGTATATGTGGCGTATTGTGTTTATTTTCATGGTTTCCTCCTTTCTGTTGAAATGGTCCGCATGCTTGATGAACCAATCTGGACGCAGCATATTTTTCGAGAACACACAGAAATGCTGGACCGCTCTGACAACCACCATGTCAGACTTCACAGAGAAGCCACTGAAATCCACAAGCATGTGGACAATTTCAACAGAAAGGAAGAAACTATGAAAATGAACAAAATCTGGCTACCAGTATTAAAAAAACTCTAAAATCAGGACAGTAAATAAAAAGCAATGCTCAAAAAGCGGGGGAATTCCAGACAGGAAACAATCAGGGCCAGCTAACACCTCCAAAGAAAGGAGGCATTTCTGAAAAGTGTGTCACCAACATGTAAGTGTGTCACCAACTCTCTCATGCTTCTTCTGAACCAATCATGCTTCTTCTGAACCAATCTTGTGAGAAAAAAAACCCCTTGACTTGATGTCACCATCGATTGGAAGCGACTTGAAAGCACACCACAATTCCAGCTCAGTAGGAGCTCTCCGTGGTTTCAAAACCTCTTCCCAAAATGAGTTCAGGACATTGGACAGCTCCTATAGAAGGAGGAAGAGCTCCTGCATAATCCAGTATGGAGTCACTACACAATCGTTGGGGCTTCCAGCTGCTGCCACCATCTACTACTTTCAAAAGTGATGTTGTGTTTGGCTGGACTTCTTTTGGGAGGCTGTGAGAACTACATAGGGCTTGCATTTATTGAAACACTGGGTTCTGAGGAGGGATATTCACCATCCTCTCACTTCCTCCTGCAGAGACAATCACCACCACCATCCAAGACAGCTTCCCCAAAGTGATGAAGAAAATGCGGGTGCCGGTGACCCTTGGGTTGTGCATGCTGCTCTTTCTCCTGGGCCTCGTCTGTGTCACCCAGGTAGGATTTTAACCAGGGACAAATGAACTGAGGCCCATAAACCATGTTAGGTTTCCAAGGTCCAATCAGGGATGGTTGATTGCCTCCATGTCATTGGAGAAACTGACATCTGCTTTGGACTTCAATCTCATCTTCCAAAGACTTAGTCAAGGTGTTAGAAACCGATCCACTAAATCCCTTACTTGGGTAGCTCTTTTAAGGTTCAGATTAAGACCCAAGTTGCTCCTGACATGACAAAAAAAAGTGGCACCATTTGCCCCCCAAGGCAATGAGCAAGACCATGTTTTAATATATGTATTTCATATTTTGGTCGTGTCAGGAGCGACCGCTCCTGTGGTGAGAGAATTGGCCGTCTGCAAGGACGTTGCCCAGGGGACACCCAGAGGATTTGATGTTTTATCATCCTTGTGGGAGGCTTCTCTCATGTCCCCGCATGAGGAGCTGGAGCTGATAGAGGGAGCTCATCCGCCTCTTCCCGGATTCGAACCTGCGACCTGTCGGTCTTCAGACGTGTCGGCAAAGGGCTTTAACCCACTGCACCACCGGGAGCTCCATGTATTTCATATAAATAAATTTTAATATATATATTTTACATAATGTTTTATTAAGTGTTTTAACTGTGTTGTGCCCCACTTCGAGCGACAAAGAGAGGCAGTTAAGAAATAAAATCATCATCATCATTATTATTATTATTATTATTATTATTATTATTATTGGGATTCCACTTTTTCTTCATTGAGATAGAATCATAGAATCATAGAGTTGGAAGACACCACATGGTCCATCTAGTCCAGCATTTCTCAACCTTGGAGTCATGTACCCGGGGGGGGGGGTGAGGGTGTGTCATAGGGGTCACCAAAGATCATCAGAAAACACAGTATTTCCTATTGGTCATGGGGGTTCTTTGTGGGAAGTTTGACCCAGTTCTATCGTTAGTGGGGTTCAGAATGCTCTTTAATTGCAGGTGAACTCTAAATCCTAGCAACTACAACTCCCAAATGCCAAGGTCTATTTTCCCTAAACACCATTATTGTTCACATTTGGGCATATTGAGTATTCGTGCCAAGTTTGATCCAGATCTATGATTGTTTGAGTTCACAGTGCTGTTTGGATGTAGGTGAACTACAACTCCAAAACTCAAGATCAATGCCCACCACATCCCCCCAGTATTTTCTGTTGGTCATGAGAGTTCTGTGTGCCAAATTTGGTTCCATTCTATCATTGGTGGAGTTCAGAATGCTCTTTGATTGTAGGTTGACTATAAACCCCAGCAATTACAACTCCCAAATGATAAAATTGCCACATTTGGTCCAGTGAATGAAAATACATCCTGCAGCTCAAATATTTGCATTGCGATTCATACCAGTAGCAAAATTCCAGGTATGAAGTAGCAATGAAAATAATTTGATGGTTGGGGGTCACCACAACACGAGGAACTATGGTAAAGGCGTCACAGCATTAGGAAGGTGCCATGCAGGAAATTCTGCATTGAGGTTGAGTAACATAACATCTATATGCAGAATTACACATTAATTGTCCTGTGCAAACCCTAATACAGAATGTCAACCTTGTGAAACTAAACCAAGACACCAAAACTAAATCCACAACCAAATGGGTTGTTGTAGGTTTTTTTGGGCTATATGGCCATGGTCTAGAAGCATTCTCTCCTGACGTTTCGCCTGCATCTATGGCAAGCATCCTCAGAGGTAGTGAGGACCTCACTACATCTGAGGATGCTTGCCATAGATGCAGGCGAAACGTCAGGAGAGAATGCTTCTAGACCATGGCCATATAGCCCAAAAAAACCTACAACAACCCAGTTATTCTGGCCATGAAAGCCTTCGACAATACCACAACCAAATATTCATGCGCATGAATGTACAATGCATGAGCACATCCACAAGCATGTGTGGCTTTCCTTCTGCAACGCAGGAGGTGATTAATCCATTTTGCATCAGGACAACAAAACGGTTATCAATGGCATCCATTGGGGCATTATTGCATGCATATGGTGCCAACGAGATCCTAACCTATTTCTTATGGAAGCCCCTGGGATTGAAGCAACCCCTCATTTGAAGGATAATCTGGAGAACATTTTGTGCATAAGATGAACTTGTTTCTTGTATTTGTAGGCAGGAATCTACTGGGTCAACTTGGTGGACCATTTCTGTGCCGGATGGGGAATCCTTTTTGCAGCCGTCCTTGAGTTGGCAGGAATTTGCTGGATTTATGGTAAGTGTATCCCTGTCTTCCCCGCTGCCCCAACAATAAGCACAACTGATTTTTAGGAATGTTTGAGTGAGTTTAAACGCTCATTGATAAGTTTAGCCCCTTTTCTATTCCTCTAGAGAAAGCAAAACGAGTAAAGGTTTCAATTCCCTAGTTTTGGAGGATATGCAATTGCAGGATTTAGGCATCCGGCTTTGTTCACAAGGAGTGACCTCTCTTTCTCCTGTACAGGAGGAAACCGATTTATTGAAGATATCGAAATGATGATTGGCAAGAAAAGCTTCCTCTTCTGGCTCTGGTGGAGAGTCTGCTGGTTTGTTGTCACCCCTTGCCTTCTGCTTGTAAGTCTTCCGGAGCACCAAAAGAGATCAGTTGGTGGTGGAAACATGGATGGAAACGCAAATCTGGGTTGTCAATGGTGCAGATTGGAGCACATGTTCCGGGGCTTTCAATGGAAGAGACCTAGGTTGGCCATGTGCACCATATTACAAGATATCTCCTCAGTTTGGGAATCAGAAACCTTGCCCTTCATAGGGCTACTAGGTGCCCTTTAGGATAAAGGACACCCCCAATTTAAGGGTCAGAAAGCTTTTCCTTTTATGTATGCTTAACAAGATGCCCCTCGAGATCCCATAATTTTGGGTGTGGGTCCTTCATTATGACCAAAATCTCATAGTTTTGAGTATGGAAGCTTCATAAGGACCAAAATCAATAGATTTGGAGAGTGGATCCTTCATAAAGACCATAGTTTGGGGTATGGGCCGTTCATAAAGACCAAAATCTCATACTTTTGAGTGAAGACCCTTCATAAAGATCAAAACCCATAGTTTTGAATATATGTCCTTCATAAAGACCATAATTTTGAGTGTGGGTCCTTCATTAAGACCAAAATCCCATAGTTTTGAGTGTGGGAGCTTCATAAAGACAAAAATCAATAGTTTGGAGAGTGGATCCTTCATAAAGACAATAGTTTTGGGTATGGGTCCTTCATAAAGACAAAAATCCCATAGTTTTAGGTTCCATCTGAACATTAGGAAGAACTTCCTGACTGTGAGAGCGGTTCAGCAGTGGAACTCTCTGCCCTGGAGTGTGGTGGAGGCTCCTTCTTTGGAGGCTTTTAAACAGAGGCTGGATGGACATCTGTCAGGGGTGCTTTAAATGCAATATTCCTGCTTCTTGGCAGGGGGTTGGACTGGATGGCCCATGAGGTCTCTTCCAACTCTATGATTCTATGATTCTATGAAGACGTTTAATAAAGACCAAAACCCATAGTTTTGAATGTATGTCCTTCATAAAGACCATATTTTTGGGTTGGGTCCTTCATAAAGATCAAAATCCTATAGTTTTGGATGCAGGCCCTTCATAAAGACCCATAGTTTGCGGTGCAGAACCTTTATAAAGACCCAGACCTATAGTTTTTAGTGTGGGTCCTTCATAAAGACCAAAATCACATAGTTTTGGTTATGTGCCCTCCCATAAATAACACAATCCCACAGTTTTGGTCGTGAGTTCTTCATAAATACCAAAATCCCATAAGTTTTTGTGTGGGTTCTTCATAAAGACCATAGTTTTGGATGTGGGTCCTCCATAAAGACCGAAATCCCTTAGATTTGGGTGCAGGCCCTTCATAAATACCAAAATCCCATAGTTTTGTGTGTGGGTCCTCCGTAAAGATAAATATTGCATAGTTTTGGGCATGGGCTCTTCATAAAGCCCCAAATCCCATAGTTTTGGGTGTGAGGTTTTCATAAAGATCTCCAGAAATACCCGAATGGAATATCTCCATGCATAACTTCAGGCTATATGTGCACTTGTGACCAACCAGATTCAAAACAAGATCTCTCAAGAGGGTTTATGACCATTTGCAAATCGTCCTGTCATGCCAAGTCACCCAGATTGTCAAACATCATTGAAAGCAACAAAATGCATTCAAATATATTAGCTATGCTTAGTAATTTGAAACCCAATGCATAGAGAAAGTGTTTGACACAGGACAAATAGCAGAGATGGGACATCTAGAGACTAAGTTATTCAGCTGATAGTCCACTTTCACCTCTAATCCACTTGATGTCAAATTCCTCTCTTTTAACTGGACCCCATGTGAAGTCCAAGTAGTTCTTATCTGCCTTAGAGGAAACAATGAACATCAATATTTGAGTTGGACTGGAATGTACCAATGAGGGTGGTGCAACATTATCTCCTTGGCTCACTGCAAAAGTTGGCCAAGGACACTGTGTTTCAGAGGTTTTCTCAGCAAAACTGAGCTCAGTCCTTTGATTTTCTGAGTTCCTTTTAGTTTACTTCCTGAAAAGCAGAATCCAAGCCTATGTTGATTTCAGCAGACGCACACTGTGGCTCTCCTGCCTTGTAAATGCATATTTTATGGTAGACTGTGAAGGAGTTACCCAAGTTCTGGAACAGATTTGAGGACACGGAAGTGAGCAATTTCAATAGGATCTATGTATTGTCGAAGGCTTTCATGGCTGGAATCACTAGGTTCTTGTGGGTTTTTTCGGGCTATATGGCCATGTTCTAGAGGCATTTTCTCCTGACGTTTCGCCTGCATCTATGGAAAGCATCCTCAGAGGTAGTGAGGTCTGTTGGAATAAGGAAAATTGGTTTATATATTTGTGGAATGACTGGGGTGGGGCAAAGAGCTCTTCTCTGCTGGAGCCAGGTGTGAATGCTTCAACTGACCACCTTCATTAGCATTTGAAGGCCTGGCTGAGCCCGGGGGAATCTTTTGTTGAGATCTGTTCAATAGGATCTGTTCCATCTTCCAGGAGCATAGTTTGCATTACCTTTTAGTTGCATGGGATAGCCTTCTTTTGCATTTCCCCAGAGTTGCTACAATCTTAGCTGCCCTCTGAAAGTTAACATTATCAGAGGCTGGAAAGCAGTCTGGAGGCCTCCTTTGCAGCTATTGGGTTCAGAAAGGTATCTCTTTGGGTCTAGGGACCGCCCTTTTTCCTGGGTTAAGATCTCCATTTTAGAATCTCCCCTGCCTCTTTCAGTTGAGAAAGAAGGCTTCAGATGTGCTGTTAGTCAGCAAGTAACTCAGGAAAAAACCATTATAAGAACTATTGAGCTATATAGAAGCATATTGAGATTTAGATAGAGAAGCTATTGAGTACTACGCTCTTGTTACATCCCGAATAGACTACTGCAACACTCTCTACGTGGGGTTGCCCTTGAAGACTGTTCGGAAACTTCAACTAGTCCAGTGAGCGGCAGCCAGACTGCTCACCGGAGCGACATACAGGGAGCACACCACCCCCCTGTTGTGCCAGCTCCACTGGCTGCCGGTTCAGTTCCGAGCACAATTCAAGGTGCTGGTTTTGACCTACAAAACCCTGTACGGTTCCGGTCCAGTGTATCTGTCCGAACATATCTTCCTCTACGTCTCACCCCGGAGTTTGAGCTGGGGAGGCCCTGCTCTCGACCCTACCACTGTCACAAGTGAGGCTGGTGGGGACAGGGAGCAGGGCTTTCTCAGTGGTGGCCCCTCACCTGTGGAACTCACTTCCGGGGGAAATCAGGGCATCATCATCCCTCCTCTCCTTCAGGAGGAGGGTGAAGATGTGGTTATGGGACCAGGCCTTTGGGCAATCTGGCAATTAAATAAGACAATCAGACGAGTAAGACCAGCAGGATTGACGAAGTGGAATGGAAAATGAGAACTATGAGTTAGCGAACGCTGACCGTGTAGGAGGAGGAATTGGGTTTGTATTGGTTTTTATTGATTTTATTGATTTTATTGGTATAATGCATGAATTGTTGTTAACTGTGAGTCTGATATAATCTTGTGTTTTGACTGTTCTGTGTTGCAGGCATCAAATTGTGCCTTGCTTTTGTAAGCCGCCCTGAGTCCCCTTCGGGGTGAGAAGGGCGGGGTATAAGAACCCGAAATAAATAAATAAATAAATAAATACTATAAAGATAGATAGATAGATAGATAGAGAGATAGATAGGATAGGTATATTGAGTTATATATTGAGCATTACTTCATCTCCAAAGCTAACCTTGAGCTATAGATAGGGGAGAAAACCTGCTTTTTTCTAACCATAGCAGCTCAGGGTTAGGGTGAAAAGGTCCCAGGAACTTCTTCTGCCATTTTGGGGAAAGGTTGCCTCAGTAACTCAAGGAAAGGAAAGGAAAGGAAAGATCATTTCTATTGCTTCATCAATTGACTGTTTTGTTTGTAACTTTAACAAGCTGTGCCAAGTCTGCAAGGACTTTGAGAAATAAATATTCTGTTTTGATGTTCAAAGCCTGTAGTAGCCTCAGTTGCTGGGAATCTCAAGCTTCTAAAGAAAGACCCCCGCAGTCCGCCCAAACAAAGAGAGAAGCCAATACTCCAGAGGACAGGAGCAGGATTCAAAACGATCTTGACAGATTAGAGAGATGGGCCAAAACTAACAAAATGAAGTTCAACAGTGACAAATGCAAGATACTCCACTTTGGCAGGAAAAACGAAATGCAAAGATACAGAATGGGGGATGCCTGGTTCGAGAGCAGTACGTGTGAAAAAGATCTTGGAGTCCTCGTGGACAACAAGTTAAACATGAGCCAACAATGTGATGTGGCGGCAAAAAAAAGCCAATGGGATTTTGGCCTGCATCAATAGGAGCATAGTGTCTAGATCTAGGGAAGTAATGCTACCCTCTATTCCGCTTTGGTTAGACCACACCTGGAATATTGTGTCCAATTCTGGGCACCACAATTCAAGAGAGATATTGACAAGCTGGAATGTGCCCAGAGGAGGGCGACTAAAATGATCAAGGGTCTGGAGAACAAGCCCTATGAGGAGCGGCTTAAGGAGCTGGGCATGTTTAGCCTGAAGAAGAGAAGGCTGAGAGGAGATATGATAGCCATGTATAAATATGTGAGAGGAAGCCAGAGGGAGGAGGGAGCAAGCTTGTTTTCTGCTTCCTTGGAGACTAGGACGCGGAACAATGGCTTCAAACTACAAGAGAGGAGATTCCATCTGAACATGAGGAAGAACTTCCTGACTGTGAGAGCTGTTCAGCAGTGGAACTCTCTGCTCTAGAGTGTGGTGGAGGCTCCTTCTTGGGAGGCTTTTAAACAGAGGCTGGATGGCCGTCTGTCGGGGGTGCTTTGAATGCAATTTTCCTGCTTCTCGGCAGGGGGTTGGACTGGATAGCCCATGAGGTCTCTTCTAACTCTTTGATTCTATGATTCTATGATTCTATGATCTTAGTTTATTTTTATAGGGCCTGGGTGTGACGGCACAGGATCTTTAAAATTTGCATTAAAACCCGGAGCGGACATACTATCCCACTGACATGAACATCTCCATTGTGAAGTCTTCCACATTGTCAAGCATGAGAGACATGTTATACACATGTAGATCAACTATTGAGGGTTTATAGGCACCAAAACAGAAATGAGTCTACCCAAAACTGCATTCCCTTCCCAAAGTTACTCCATGTTTCAGAGCCCAGTTTTAGAGCTCATCTCTTAAGTCTCCTTCCTTCTTTTCCCTCTGCGACAGGCAATCTTGGTTTGGTCTCTCATCACCTTTGCACCGCCTAAATACGGCAGCGTGGAATATCCCGAATGGGGATCGGCGGTCGGATGGTGCATGATCATGTTCTGCCTCGTTTGGATCCCTGTCATCGCAATCTACAAAATAGCGAAAGCCCAAGGCAACCTGTGGCAGGTGAGTCTCCGAAGGGCATCTGCATAGCAAGAAGGCCTGGTAAAAATATGTTACTCCCATTGCATCCTCCATGTCAGTGGGGTGGTGAATATGCACCAGATTTCAAAATCACTCTCCAAGGTGGAAAGAATGCATAAGAAATTAATCAGTTTCTCTTAAGGTCCAAAAATACATTCCAATGTTATTTCAGAGGGACTCAGAGCGGATTCCAACATACAACGGCAAACATTCATTGCCTCCATAAAACAAACAAATACCAACAGAAAAAAACCCACATATGAAACAATATAAAACCTAACATCAAATTAAACCTTACATCAATAAATTAAACGTAACAGCAATAAATTGAACATAGGTAGCCATACAAAAATTACATAATGACATAAAATCTGAACAAATATCCAACCTTAATTTACAGAAGCCAACTAGAGTTCAGGGACTTGTGTGGGTTGGTTGTGTGGTCAACAATGGCAATTGGGTTGGCATGAGCTAGCAGAGCCCAGATACAAAATAGTTCTCAACCTGGGCCGGGTAGCGATCTCTTATTATCTAATTCTCCTCCTCTCCATATGCTAGTGATCAGAAGTAGTTTTTTTTTTTTGAAGGAGAGGAGGGAGGGGCCAACTTTAGTTCTTTAGGGAGGGAGTTCCAGAGTGGGGGGCAATCACGGAAAAGGCCCTCTCTCTCGTTCCCATCAGCTGTACTTGGGATGGGGGTGGGGTTGAGAGCAGGGCCTCCTCCTCTGACCGTTGTGCCGGGGCAGGTCTATAAGAGGAGATGCAATCAGTCAAATAGCCTGGATCCAAGCTAATAATAATAATAATAATAATAATAATAATAATAATAATAATAATAATACGAGGGGTATTTTTAAGTAAGGTCCGTTGGAACATAAGTACACAACGAAAGTTTATTTCAAAAAGGTAAATTTATTTTCAGAAAGTACATACTTCACTCTATTTTTTGACATAGTTGCCAAGTTTGTTCAAACACTTATCATACCTCTGAACCAATTTTAAAATACCCTTTTCATAAAAACTAGCTTCAACTGAAGCCACCAAATCGTCTGTAATCAAAGAAGGGCGACCAGAGCAGTCCTCATCATGGATGTTGTCACGGCCATCTTTGAATTGTCGTACCCACTTACGCACTTTGCTTTCACTCATAACAGTATCACCGTACACTTCACAAACCTGTCGATGAATTTCTGCAGCAGGCAGGTTCCTTGCTGACAAAAACTGTATCACTGAGCTAAACTCACATGCGGCGGGTCAGTTGATAGTATTAAACATTTTTAAAGCACAGAACAGAACCGTACAGGTTAGCTACAGAGCGGAAACTGAGCACAGTTGTTCCCGAGGCATGCCGGTGCACGACACACACGCTCGTTGCGGTATGCACGCGAACTACTAGTGTCTACAACAAAACGGACCTTACTTTAAAGATACCCCTCATAATAATATGTAACACATTTTTTGTTCCTGGGTTATCAAGTTTATTGAACCACAAAAATTGTGTTTTTTGTCGGACATCCTGCAGCACATTTTGCTCTAGTTTTTCAATGAATATCTCATGGAGACTCAACCAATTCCACCTAGTTTGTAGCAGCCACTAAAATGAATTTTCTGGAGTATAACGACTACTTTCAAACTAAGTACCACACAATTAAACAGGAAATAGCACTTTCAAACAAAGAACAAAAAAATTCCAAATGTTGTTACATAGTGTAATAATAATAATAATATCAATTTTTAAAATAATGTATTTTAATTTTTTCCCCTCTGTAGCGTATTGTCAGCTGTTGCAAGCCCCAGCCGAATTGGGGCCCTTACTTGGAGTGCCACCGTGGAGAGCGATACAGAGGCATGGTGGACCCAGCCAAGGAGCGGGACCTCGAGATCCCCACCGTGGACAGCTATGTGCCCAAGTCTGACTAAAGAGGAATCTTGGGGGGACGGGGGGAGATATGGTTTTGTAATGGACACCACACTATTTATTCCAAGGACCTTTGTGCAATGGATCATCTTTGGTTCGCAGAGCCTGGAGACAGGAGGGCACCACAAGCCAAAGTCTCCTGCCCTGCAGGATGATGCTTCAACAAGGTCCATGCTGTGCATGGAGAAGGTGTCCCTTGAGGGGAGATGGTCTTGGGTTCAAATGGAGCTCTCTAGAGGCCCAACCCAAGGGACACTTTGCTAGGATTGGGCCAAGACCTCCTTCCAGTCCACACTTGGAAAATAAGGACTCAAGAGTCATTGAAAACCATGGACAGCTGTGATTCCATCAAATTCAGTTGGATCTCGCCTTGAGCCGAATCGTTCTGCCTGGAGGGACTTATTGTATTCAGTGTAATTTATTTCTCTTCCTTCTTTGGAAATGATTTCACCTAATTTATTTTTTATTTCCTCTCTCGGACATCCTGTTGAAGTCAGCAGGCATTCTTTGGGCACTTTGATAGTTATAAGGACTAGGAACTTGGATCCCCCCTTGAGTTTCAATTCTATTCTGAAGAATGAAAGCAGTGGGGATATAAATATAACTGAATAGGGATTAAATTCCTTGGAGGTGCTGGGCGGCTGGCTGGCCAGCCAAGCAAAGTAACTTTTGCCGAGCTTTGGTCTTGCATTCATTGTTTTGTCTGTTTGCACATCTCAACAAGAATTGCCCAAGAAAGAGAATCAACTTTCTTGCCATTTCTGCAGGTTTCCCAATTTCTGGACATATGTTGGTTATGTGCAGAGGCGGCCCTAGGTAATTTTCAACGGTAAGCAAACAGTATTTTGCCCCCCCCCCCCAACCAATCATTGATATATATTTTCTGTTCGTCGTGGGAGTTCTGTGTGCCATATTTGGTTCAATTCCATCATTGGTGGAGTTCAGAATGCTCTTTGATTTTAGGTGAACTATACATCCCAGTAAGATGCAAGATGGAGATGGTTTGCCTGGCCCGCTTTGGGTCCGGAGGGGTGCCTGAAGACCCCGGCGTGTGCACCAAAAGTCACCTCTTCTCCTGACTTTCTCCTCAGCCATTGGGACCAAGAGAGAGAGAGAGAGGTGGAGATGCCCACCTTTCCTGAAGGTAGGCGCAAAAACAAAGGAGGGAGCGGAGGTGGGAGATACCTCCAGCCGGAGGGAGAGAGAGCCCCTCCGGCTGGAGGTATCTCCCACCTCAGCTCCCTCCTTTGTTTTTGCGCCTACCTTCAGGAAAGGTGGGCATCTCCACCTCTCTCTCTCTCTCTCTCTCTCTTTCTCTCGGTCCCAATGGCGGAAGAGAAAGTCAGGAGAAGAGGCGACTTTTGGAGCGCACGCTAGTGTCTTCAGACATGCCTCCGGACTCGAAGCTGGCCAGGCACGGTGGCTCCACTCCTTGCCCCCCCCCCCCCGGATTGGGGAGAGGAGAGGAGGCAGGTGGAGCGCCAGGGGATTGGGAAAGGGAGCTGGTCATGGGGAAGGGATTGAATGTGGAGAACGATTGAGCGCCGGCTCTGCTTGCACACCCGGTGGCTGGGTGGAGCAGGAACGAGAGGGGCTAGGCGGGGCTCAAGGGCCCGGCCCCTTTGGGAAGAGGATCGCCCGGCAGCGAGGCAAGAAAGCCGAGGCTCCCCCCGGACTGCGAGGGCTGTTGTGAGCTGAGGGGGCGCTCCTCAAGTGGCGGTCGAGGGGCATTTACAGAGGCGCCTCTGCGCCCCTGGCAAAAAAAAGTGTTCTGCGACCGCTTACTTCGCGTAATGGACGAGCTGCCCCTGGTTATGCGTCTAGGATTTTGCACAGAGGATGTGTAGTTTTCTCCTTCCAACCCTCAGATGGTGCTACCTAGATCACAGGCCTTTGGGATTGTTATTCTGTGGGGTTTTTGGACATGATTCATCTTCCACAGTCACAAAATGGCACATTTTGAACCAGACTCATAGTTCCAGGAGGAACGTCCTTTCTGCAGATTTATCCCACTGACAGAATAAAATGTTGTGTCTTTTTTTTCACTCTGGTGGAACCCATATGAGCTTCTCGGCAATACAGTCAGCCCTCCATATTCATCAGGTGCAGGACCCCCATGAAAAATCTGTGGTCAACTTCTGCTGGATGTTGACTGCAGAATCTCATTGGAGAACCTAGAGATAAGGACATCTTTCCAGGAATATCTAGGTCCACCAGCAGAACTCCATGAACCTCCAAGAGGCATTCACTATAGAGTTATTCTAGAGAACAGTGGTTCTCAACCTGTGGGTCCCCAGATGTTTTGACCTTCAGAAATCCTACAAGCTGGTAAATTGGCTGGGATTTCTGAGACTTGTAGACCAAATATCTGGGCACCCACAGGTTGAGAACCACTAGTCTAGGTCACCCATCAGAATTCCATGAATCTTTTGGAATGCTCACCAGAGAGTCAACCAGAAGACAGAGGTATAAGGAATTTTCTCTATGTCTGCCTAGGTCCTCCAGTATAACTCCATGGTCAACATCTGCTAGATGTTGACCATAGTGTCACACTGGGGGACCTCAAGATAAGGAATGTGATGCTTCCCTGAATGAGAATGAGAACTGCCTTCCTCCCCTCAGAGTCCATGACTGTGACCCTTGGGTTGTCTTGCATGGGAGATGACTACCATAGCAAAGAGGGAGGAAGTCTTAGGCACTGGGATCATGGGTGGGAGACCCCGGCTTGCCTGTGTATAGTTTTTATATTGAATAATTTGTTTGGGTTGTTGTAAGTTTTTCGGGCTGTATGGCCATGTTCCAGAAGCGTTCTCTCCTGACGTTTCACCTGCATCTATGGCAGGCATCCTCAGATAATAATTTGTTTATTGGTTGTATTAACATGCCACTCTTCTAAATCAATAAAATTTGATTTTTTTTAAAGAAAAATGTGTCTGTATTTTTTTTGTTCTGAGTGGTAAACTCAAACCCTGGGCCTATTGTTGTTTGAGTCCACAGTGCTCTCTGGATGTAGGTGAACTACAACTCCAAAACTCAAGGTCAATGCCCACCAAACCCTTCCAGTATTCTCTGTTGGTCATGGGAGTCCTGTGTGCCAAGTTTAGTTCAAGTCCATCTTTGGTGGAGACCAGAATGCTCTTTGATTGTAGGAGAACTATAAATCCCAGTAACTACAAATGACAAAATCAATCCCTTCCCCCAACCGCACCAGTATCCAGATTTGCCCGTATTGGGTATTCGTGCCAAATTTGGCCCAGTGAATGAAAATACATTGTGCATATCAGATAGTTTTATTACGATTCATTACAGTAGCAAAAATACGGTTATGAAGTAGTAACCAAAATAATTTTAGGGTTGGCAGTCACCACAACATGAGAAACTGTACGAAGGAGTCACGGCATTAGGGAGGTTGAGAAACACTGATCTAAATGCAGTTGTGGTCATGGACATATTATCTGCCTTTTGGGGAGATTACAAATGCAATAAAAGGAAGCTATGTCACTTCAAACTCAGAGGTGATTGTCTTATGTTTTAATTCCTGCATTTGATGGGTAAGATTTTCCATCAAAACTATTACCGTCAAATGGAGAGTTGACACATAGATAAACCCAATCAATGCAAAGGCCCCACCCAAAGCAGGGCTAACAACAGGTTTAAGGCCTGTAATTTCGCCCCACATTAGAGCCCAGCCTGAGCCTGTAATAAACTTTAATAATAGTTTCAGCTAGGAACCAACATTGCCTTTGCGGTGGGATAGAGAGACTAACAAGGAAGGGATAGGCCAAACTTTCCTCCCGCATTCCAATCCTTTTATTTTGAGAATCTATGAATCAGGGATAGTCTTCTCAATCAGCAACTAGCTTAGGTACCCAATGTTAGCCATGTAGGTAGTGTGTCAAGTTTGGTTCAGATCCACTGTGGGCTGGGTTCAGAATGCTCTTTGATTGTAGGTGAACTATAAATCCCAGCAACTACAACTCCCAAATGACAAAATCAATCCCCCCTCTCAACCCCACCAGTATCCAAATTTTTGTGTATCAGGTATTTGTGCCAAATTTGGTCCAGATCCATTGTTGTTTGAGTTCAAAGTGCTCTCCAGAGGTAGGTGAACTACATCTCCCCTAAATCACTGTCAATTCCTTCCAAATCCCTCTGGTATTTTCGTTCGTCATGTGGGTTCTGTGTGGGAAGAGATGCTCGGGTTAAGTATTTGGTAAGGATGACGATTAAAAAAAAGCCATTGTTTGTTTTTGGATTTTACAAAAGGTCCTGCTAGAAAATGAATAAGGATGTGTGTGAACTACAACTCCCAGCATCTTCTGTCATTGCCCCCAAACCGCACTCATTGTTAAAGCTAGTCATGATGGGTCAGTGTGCCAAGTTTGGATCAGATCCAATATTGGTGAAGTTCACAACGCTCTTATTTATTAATTTGCAGTATTTATACCCTGCCCTTTATTACCTCTTCAATTGTGGGTGAACTACAACTCCCAACATCATGGATCAGTGTCTCCCAAACCCCATCAAAGTTGGTCATGATGGGTCTGTGCACCAAGTTTCGTGATTGTGTCTATTGCAATTTTTATTTTATTTTATTTTATTATTACTATTATTATTTTATTATTATTTTAATGTCATTTTGATAATGTTGTTGTTGTCTGATGTATATGCTTTGATTTTATTGCTGTATTATGTTGTCCGGGCTTGACCCCATGTAAGCCACTCCGAGTCCCCATTGGGGAGATGGTGGCGGGGTAGAAATAAAGATTATTATTATTATTATTATTATTATTATTATTATTATTATTGTTATTATAAGTTTGTTTCAGATCCATTGTCACTTGGGTTCATAGTGCTCTCTGGGTGCAGGTGAACTATAACTCCCAACATTGAATGTCAATTCCCTCTAAACCCTGCAAGTACTTAGAGTTGGTCATGTTGGGTCTGTGCACCAAGTTTGTTGTCAGTGGGATTCACATTGCCCTCTGGAAGTGGGAGCCATCTTGGAAATTGCCCTCAAACATACATAAACCGCTGTGTGTGTGTGTATACACACATGCTTGTATATATATTTTCACTTTTATTATAGACTAGTTCAGGGACCCGGTGATGCCCAGGTTATTTGAAAAAGGCATTGTTTGTCTCTGCTCCAAGTTTAGTCTATATCCAATGTCAGCCGGGTTCAGTGGGTGCGGAAGAACTACAACTCCCATGCGGATGGGTCCGTCCCCCAACCCCAACCCCCTTCAGTATGTTCTGTTCGTCCTGGGGGTTCTGTGTGCCAAGTTTGGTGCAGGTCCATTGCTGGTGGGGGTCACAGTGCTCTATCTTGATACAGAGTGAACTACAATTTCCATCATGTTGAGTCAGTCCCCCAAACTCTTCCAGTATGTTCAGTTGCTGATCAAGTCCTCTCTGTTTGGTTTTGTTTGTTTGTTTGCTTGCTTGTTTGCTTTTTGTCGTGTCAGGAGTGACTTGAGAAACTGCAAGTCACTTCTGGTGTGAGAGAATTGGCCGTCTGCAAGGACGTTGCCCAGGGGACGCCTGGATGTTTTGATGTTTTTATCATCCTTGTGGGAGGCTTCTCTCATGTCCCTGCATGAGGAGCTGGAGCTGATAGAAGGAGCTCATCCGCGCTCTCCCCAGATTTGAACCTGCGACCTGTTGGTCTTTAGTCCTGCCGGCACAGGGGTTTAACCCACTGTGCCACCGGGGGCTCCTCTGTTTGCTGTACACCATAGAAAAGAGTAGGAAAGGGTTATGGGGAGGCAGTGGGCGGGGTCATGCAAATTCCACACCAATGGAAAGACTGAGAAACACTGGGATGTCTGTGGCGGAGGAAACACATACAATCTAGGATGTAATTGTC